AAAAAAAAAAAAAAAAGAGTGAGCCATGGGGTCTGGGGGACCAGGGCCCCCAGGAGTTGGGGAGAAAATGAGAGGACAGAGTTGAGACCATGACTGCAGACAATTCCTACCTGAAGCTTTGCTGAGAGGGGGAGTGGAGAAATGGAGATAGAAGCAAAAGGATGTGAAGTCATAGGATTTTCTTAAAATGGAGGTTTCTTGGGTGTGTTTGTATAGTGATAAGAATGATCTACATAGATAACCAGAGTGGGGGATAAGGCTGGGGTGGGTCTAGGGCACAGGGCAGCTGGGCTCAGCAGGGGTAAGCAGGGAGGACGGGCATGTCAGGGTGCTGCTACATGGAGTAAAGGGGCCAGAAAGGAGTTCCATCTGATCACCAGTACTGGGGCTCCTGGGGAAGGAGAGGCATGTGGTATGTGAGGGCAAGAGGCCATGGCCTCATGGGTAGGAACACCCAACCAGAGCAGAGCAAGGGTTGCTGGACAGCACAGAGGGCACTGAGACGTGTGCTGTAAGGAACCATTCCTGGTCCTCCTTGTCCTTGCTAGCTGAACGTACATGGGACGTGCCACATTTCAAGTATTCACTATATCACCTCCACCATGGGCATTTATGGCAATGTGAGGGCTTTGTGACCTCTGTGGTTCTCTGACTGATGTCTCTTTTTAAAATGAGCTCTGGTGGCATAGTACCTAAGGCATTTGACTGCTAATCAGAAGGATGGAGGTTCAAACCCACTCCTCAGAAAGAAGGTTGGGCAGTCTACTTCCGTAGTGATGTTGTTGTTGTTATGTGCCATCCAGTCATCTCTGACTCATAGCGACCCCTCCTTGGGTTTCCAAGGCAGTATCACTACAGAAGTAGATTGTCCAACCTTCCTTCCAAGGAGTGGCTGGTGGGTTTGAACCGCCAGCCTTCTGGTTAGCAGTCAAGTGCCCTAGGCACTACACCAGCAGAGCTCCCTCCGTAGTGATACCACCTCAGAAACTCAAGGAGGGATCACTATAAGTCAGATCCAACTCCACGGCAGTGAGTTTGGTTTCTGGTTTTGGTTATTATGTCACCTAGCTGCTGATGGTGTTGGACCTATGAGAGTTTGGGTCTGGCCCTTCATCTGGATCTGCTTAGGAACCTTGGTGAGTATTTGTCCTTTTGCTGGCCAACTTGCATCTTGTGAATATCCTGCCCTCACACTGGTGCTGCGTACTATGAGTCCCATCCCATTTTCCCAGTGTCCTTGGCAGCTAGTGCACAGTCACAGAACCTTGGCTCCCCCAATCAGATGCTTTGCAGATGACTTTGGTTTGGAAGAAAGACGGCAAGGTGAAGTGCTGTATGCCCTAGGGAATCAATTTTCTAGGGAAGATGGCACTGAAGGTTTCTGTCTTCTCAGCATTGCCAGTATGATCTGTGATGCCTGTGCTCAGTAGCAACATTAACTAAAGAGGGACTAGCAGTTATGCTAAAAACATTACTCAGCAGAAAGGGCCAATAACTGAGGCTTCTATTATTGTTTTCTTTTCAATAAAATGGGGTAAAATTACCAACCTTTTAAAAAAAGAAACAAATTATGTCAGTTCTAAACAAAATAGAAGTTCCCATGTGGGCCTTGTTGGAGGCTTTCTCCTCCACCACTGAGCACTCATGGTGGACTCATTAGGTCTTGACTGTTCCATTTGTCTCTCGGCTCATGATTGGACAAGGCAGTGATTTTCTCCAGGTGTTTAGGTTCCACTGGAAATTCCTCGGGCTCTGTCTTGCCACCAACAGAACCTCTTACATTCATTTCTTCATCTTGTGATTAACTTGAGGTTTCAGTGGAGACCATTTCCTCACTGCCGAGAGTATGCTTCACGTTAGGTGCAGACAGATCAAATCACATCTGAGTTCCAGGCTTCAGCCCCGGCTGCCGAACACTTGGGCAAATAGCAATAATGTCCGAGTTATCTTTGTAGCTTCAATCCCTACAAACGCTTACAGCCGATACTCAGCAGATGCTTATTACACGGAAGAATGGGATGTTGGCATCCAGAGCCCCTCTGCAGTAATTGTCCAGAAAGAAACAAAAATGTATTTGCTTTCAGGTTTTGCCAGTTTCCGCAAGAAATTGTTCTTCAGATGATAGAGAGATGTCGGATACGAAAACTGCAGTTACTTGCTCACCAGTACATGATTTCAAGTAAAATTGAGTTCTACATTAGTGAGAGCTTGCCTGAATATTTTGTACCATATCAAGCAGAGCGCTTTCGGAGACTCGGGTAAGAATGAAACTTAAAATTTATAATGGTAGCATGAGTCAGGCTAATTCTACTCAAAAGGAGCTCTGATGGTGCAGCGGTTAAAGCATTCGGCTGCTAACCAGGAGGTCAGCAGTTGGAGCCCACCAGCCTTTCTGTGGGAGAAAGATGAGGCAATCTGCTTCTGTAAAGATTTATAGCCTTGGAAACCCTATGGAGCAGTTCTATTCTGTGCTATATAGGGTTGCTATGAGTCAGAATTGACTTGATGGCAGTGGTAATTCTGCTCAAAGCAGTTAGAAACTAATGAATTGCCCCTTTTGGTCCTATAATGCATACTTCTGTTTGGTTCACCATTCTGCCATTTTTAAACACTTGTCTCATGTTGAATATGCTTATCATTTTTATCTATAGTATTCAGCTCTATTTTTTAGATGCAGAATTTTTCTTAAGAATACTAACAATTTGACTTTTTTCTTAGTTTTTTGGTGGTTATTTGACTATTCTAAACGTTTTATTTAAACCGATTGGGTTCAGTAGGGAGTTGTTTTGTTTATCAGCACGTGCTCACGAGAACATGATTCTTCCAGTTACGTCTCTCTGTGTGATAACGCAAAGACCGGCTGCAAAGCCCGGGAGCTAAAATCGGTGTATGTGGACGCAGTCGGGCAGTTTCTGAAGCTGATATTTCATCAAAACCATGTCAATAAATACAACGTATATAATCAGGTAGGATGAGTACATCTTCATTCTTGGCTCCACTCCACACCCTCATTCCATGAATATATAGTTATATATCTTTTCTTAAATGATTTTCAAAATTTTCTTTTGAAAGAGTCTTTTGTGGAAGAGTGTTAAGCTCTGCATCTGTGCTAGCCAATGCAGCAGCCACTGGCCACATGTGGCTCTTGCCCACTAGATGTGTGGCTCTCCAAATGAAAGCTGCTGTCAGTGTGAAAGGGACACTAGATTTTGAAGACTGAATATGGAAAAAAGTGTAAAATTTCTATGAATTACATGTTGAAATACTTTAAGTATGTTGTTGTTGTTATGTGCCGTCGAGTCGGCCCCGACTCATAGTGATCCCTCCTTGGGTTTCCGAGGCAGTATCACTACGGAAGTAGGATTGCCCAACCTTCCTTCCGAGGAGTGGCTGGTGGGTTTGAGCCGCCAGCCTTCTGGTTAGCAGTCAAGTGCTTTAGCCATTATGCTACCAGAGCTCCCACTTTAAGTATATTGGGTTAAAATATATTATTCAAATCAATTTTGCCTGTTTTTAATGTTTTTTTTAAAACTGCCTGCAAGAAAATGTGACATTACCTAAATGGGACACATTGTATTTCTAGGGACAGCACTTTTCTACAGGAACCCTCTATATTTTTATGAGATACATCTCTTGGTAGAAATTGGAAACGTGTTTAATGTTGCATGCAATCCACAGTCCTCCAGCTCTGGGCTACTCTTTCTTCCTCCCTTTCTCCCTCCTCCCCTTCCTCCTTTTCTTCTTCTTCTCTTTTTTTTTTTTCCTCCTAATTAATGTGGTAGAAACCAAGCTTCCGATTGCAGTTACTCGCTCACCAGTACATGATTTCAAGTCTAGTTCAACCCCCTGCTAAGGATTTACATTTCCTCCCCAGATATACTGAATCATAATCTACATTTTAATGAGATCTCTTACATATACATTAGAAACACAAGTCACTCCAAATAACATGGCCAAAGTACATGAGATAAACTCTAACCATTCTCACTTCTAAGGAGGATTCTGACTACTTCTTCCAAGACAGATTTGTTAGTTCTTCTGGTAATCCATGATATAGTCAATGTTCAATATTATTCACCAATACTATAATTCATCATACTCGGTCTTCCTTATTCATTGTCCAACTTTGTCATGCATATGCAGCAATTAAGAAGACCATGACTTGGCCCAGGGATACCTTAGTCCTCATAATGAGATCTTTGCTTTTAACTTTAGAGAGTTCTTTTGCAACAGATTTGCCAGTGCAATATGTCATTTGATTTCTTGTCTGCTGCTTCCATGGGTGTTGATTGTGGAACCAAGTAAAATAAAATCCTTGAAAACTTCAGTCTTTTCTCCATTTATCATGATGTTGCTTATTGGTCCAGTTGTGAGGATTTATTATTTTTTTTTATGTTAAGGTGTAATCCATACTGAAGGCTGTAGTCTTTGATCTTCATCAATAAGTGGTTCAAGTCATCTTCACTTTTAACAACCAAAATTGTGTCATCTGCATATCACAGGTTATTAATGAGTCTTCCTCCAGTCTTGTTGCCTTGTTATCCATGTAGTCCACCTTCTCAGATTATTTGCTCAGCATATGAATTGAGTAAGTATAGTGAAATGATACAACCCTGGCACACACCTTTTCTCATTTTAAAACATACAGTATCCCCCTTGTTCTGTTTGAATGACTGCCTCTTAGTCTATGTACAGTGTCTAGTTAGCTAGTGCTGCTATAACATAAATATCATAAGTAGATGGTTTTAACAAAAATGTATTCTCTCACAGTTACGAGGCTAAAAGTCCAAATTGAGGGCATTAGCTCTAGGTTCCAGAAGGCTTTCTCTTTCTGTTGGCTCACAGTTTATGAGGAAAGGCCTTATCTTCTTTCAGCATGGCATTCCTTGAAGGTCTCCATGTGTCTTGGCATCACTTCTTCCCCTGGGTCTAGTAGGTTCCCAGCATAGGGACCCTGGGTCCAAAGGATATACTTTTCTCCCAGTTCTTCTTTCTTGGTGCTTGTAGGTTCCTCTCTCTCTGCCACACCCCAGGAAAACTCCCCTTACATTGGATCAGTGCTATGACCTGATTAAGGGTGTTGACCCTGCCCTAATCCTCTTTCAGTTGATTGGCTGATCACATCATGGGAGATGATTACATCATAACATAACTGCCACATTACATCATTACATAACTGCCAAACTACTGAGAATCATGCCCCAGCCAAGATGACATATAGGTTCTGCATGAGCTCTATTAAATCTTCTGGAATTCTCATTCTTTGCAGTGTTATCCATAATTTGTTATAATTCACAGAGTAAAATGCCTTTGGATAATCAATAAAACATGGGTAAATATCTGTCTAGTATTCTCTGCTTTCAGCCAAGGTCCATCTGACATCAGCAATGATATCCCTCATTACATGTCCTCCTCTTTATCTGCCTTGAATTTCTAACAGTTCCCTGTTGATGTACTGCTGCAGTCATTTTTAAATTGTCTTCAGCAAAATTTGACTTGCATGTGATATTAATAATATTGCTCAATGATTTCCTCACTCTATTGGATCATCTTATTTTGGAATGGGCATGAATATGGGTCTCTTCCAGTCAGTTGGCCAGGTAGCTGTCTTCCAGATTTCTCAGCATAGCTGAGTGAGTGCCTCCAACATTGCATCTGTTTGTTGAAACCTTTCAATTTGTATTCTGTCAGTTCCTGAAGCCTTATTTTTCACCAGTGCCTTCAGTGCAGCTTAGACTTCTTCCTTCAGTACCATTGGTTCTTGATCATATGCTACCTCCTGAAATGGTTGAATGTCAGCCAGTTCTTTTTGGTACAGTGACTCTGTATTCTTTCCATCTTCTTTTGGTGCTTCATGTGTCTTTCATTTTTTTTTTCCCCATAGAATTGCAACTTGAGGCTTGAATTTTTTCATTTCTTTCAGCTTGAGAAATGCTGAGCATGTTATTTCCTTTTGGTTTTCTAAATCTAGGTCTTTGCACAGTTGATTATAATACTTTACTTTGTTTTCTTGAGATGCCCTTTGAAGTCTTCTGTTTAGCTCTTTTCCTTCATCATTTTTTCCATTTGCTTTAGCTGCTCTGCATTCAAGTACAAGTTCCAGAGTCTCTTCTGACATCCATTCTGGTCTTTTCTTTCTTTCCTGTCTTTTTAATGACCTTTTGATTTTTTCATGAATAATGTGAGCTCTGGTAGCATAGTGGCTAAGACACTTGCCTGCTAACCAGACGGCTGGCGGTTCAAACCCACGAGCCACTCCTCGGAAGGAAGGTTGGGCAATCCTACTTCCGTAGTGATACTGCCTCGGAAACCCAAGGAGGGGTCGCTATGAGTCAGGTATGACTTGACGGCACATAACAACAACAACAACAACAATGTTGATGTCATCCCACAGCTCATCTGGTCTGTGGTCATTAGTTTCATTGTCAAATCTGTTCTGGACATGGTTCTAAATTCAGGTGGGATATACTCAAAGTCATACTTTGGCTCTTATAGACTGGTTTAATTTTCTTTAGCTTCAATTTGAATTTGCATATGAGCGATTGATGGTTTGTTCTGTAGTTGACCCCAGTCTTGTTCTGACGAATGGCATTGAGCTTCTCTGTCCTTTCTTTCCACAGATGTAGTCTATTTGATTCTTGTGTATTCCATCTGGCAAGATCCAAGTGTGTATTTGCCATTGGTGTTAAAAAGATACGTCCAGTGAATAAGTCGTTGGTCTTGCAAAATTCTGTCATGCAATCTTCAGCATCATTTCTATCATCAATGTCATATTTTCCAACTACCAACCTTATTCTTTGTTTCCAGCTTTCTCATCCCAATCTCCAATAATTATCAATGCATCTTGATTTCATGTTTGATCAATTTCAGACTGCAGAAGTTGGTAAAAACCTTCAATTTCTTTATCTTTGGCATTAGTGGTTGATACATAAATTTCAATAATAGTTATATTAATGGGTCTTCCTTTTAGACATATTGATGTTATCACTGACAGCATTGTATTTCAAGGTAAATCTGGAAAGGTTCTTTTTGACAATGAATTCAACAACATTCCTCTACAATTTGTCATTCCTGGCATAGTAGACAATATGATTGTCCAGTCTTCCTTCCAGGGAGTGGCTGGTGGGTTTGAACTGCCAGCCTTCTGATTAGCGGTCAAATGCCTTAGGCACTACACCACCAGAACTCCCAATCCAAAATGACCAATACTAGTCCATTTCAGCTCGTGATTCCCTAAGTTATCAATCTTTATGTGTTCTATTTCATTTTTGATTACTCAAATTTTCCTAAATTCATACTTCATATAATCCATGTTCTGATTAATGGATATTTGCAACTGTTTCTTCTCACTTTGAGTCATACCACATCAGCAAATAAAGGGTCCAAAAGCTTTATTCCATCCACGTCATTAAGATCAACTCTACTTTGAGGAGGTGCTCTTCCCAGTCTTATTTTGGGTACCTTCCAACCTGAAGGGCTCATCTTCTAACACTGTACCAGTGTTCCACTACTATTCATAAGGTCTTCACTGCCCAGTTTTTTAGAAGTAGATTGCCAAGTTGTTCTTCAAGTCTGTCTTGATCTTGAAACTTTTCCACCATGGACGACTTTGCTGGTATTTGAAATACCAGAGGCATAGCTCCCAGCTTCACAGCAAGCACAAGCCACCACAATACAACAGATTGACAGACAAGCGATTGTGTAGGTTTCTGGTGCTGCTATAATAGAAATAGCACAAGTGGATGACTTTAACAAACAAATTTACTTTCTCACAGTTTAGGCAGCTAGAAGTCTGAATTCAGAGCGCCAGCTCTAGGGGAAGGTTTTCTCTCTCTGTCGACTCTGGAGGAAAGTCCTTATCTCTTCAGCTTCTGCTGTTGGTTTCTTGGAGATCTCCATGTGTCTTGGCATCTGTCTTACCCCATCTTTCCTCTTTCATCTTGTTTATTTAATCTCTTTTATATCTCAAAAGAGATTGACTCAAGACACAGCCTATACCAACCCTGCCTCATTAACATAACAAAAACAATTCACTCCAAACAATGTGGAACAAAACTCAAAAGCATTTGGAGAAAAAAAAAGGGGGGGTGGGACCAGGTTTGCTGGTTCGATAGAGCCTGGTGGAACCTCTGGGACTATGGCCCCTAGCTGCCCTTCAGGTCTGTGGTTTCCAGCCAAACAAAAGACAGGCATATGAGTTGAACATTTACCTTTTATTACAAGTATTACAAGTAGATACATTCCTTGGGGAGAACAAGCATGGGAGAAAGAAGGGCTGCTTATGCACAGGGAGACAGCTCAGGGGGCAGGAGTGTATGGAGGGATGGACACTGGGAAGAGGTAACTATGGGGAGGAAGTGGGAGAGAAGCTGTTGCGTTGTGGTAAACTGTGGTCAATGTCATGAGACAAAGTTTATGTGAACTGCTGTATGGAAAGTGAATTTGCTCTGTAAATCTTCACCCAAATCACAATTTAAAAAAAAAAAACAAACCTCACTCCCAAATGGGTTTATACCCACAGGCATAGAGGTTAGGATATACAATACATATATTGTGGTGGGGGTTTAGGGGAGACATAATTCAGTCCTAACAAGGGCTGTAAGATATACTTAAGTTGCTTGGTCCATAGCACCATTACTTGACAGTAAACTGGAGAATGATTCTTAGCCTCGTCCTTCCTCTACCCCATCAGCTGGTCTCTACACTAATGACTACCGGTACCATCTCAGATTGTGCAGTTAGGCTGCAGTGATTCCCAGGGAAGTAGGAGGGGTATGGTTATAGGAAGATGACTCCTCCTCCTTAGGGGAGAATCATTGACTTCGAAGAGCTGGTGAACTGTGCTAGTTTAGATTAGTATTTCATTGTCTGACTTATCAAAATCATATAGACATGACCTCCATTCTTAACCTTGGGTGGATGATTCATTGCAAATCATTGTAATTGTAATCATTGAAAACTTGGGGGTTTTATATTTTGTTTAACATCTTTTAAACAGTTAAAATAGCCACTTAGTTCAGTATTAGAATAATTTATATATTTATAAAATTTAATAATTCTATACAGTACGTATAACATTTTATAAATAATTTACTTTGAATATATTATTCCATTTGATGACAGTATAAATCAGTGGTTTGTTATAAAGGGTTTAAGTCGTCATAGGTATTTTATAATTTCTTTTGATTTAACTCTTTCTTAGGTCGCTCTGGTTGCAGTAAATATCATTGGAGACCCTGCAGATTTCAGTGAGGAAAGCAATATTGTAAGTTTGAGAAGTTTAATTCCTCAAGAAGAAAGTATTTTTAATAGGAGAGGATTGTTTTTGTCCCAAACTGTGTCATCTTAAAATTCTATAAAAGTGAATAGTGAATAACTATTAAATAACTTTTAGCAGCTATAGTGTGCTAAACATTTCTTTTTATCAAGAACTTTGGCTCTCCCTCAAAGAAACTAGAATCACTAAAGCTCCCTAACGTCTTTGTATCTTTATATCTTTTGGTTAAAGTTTTTGTTCATTTTTTTCTCTGAGATGCTAAGAAGAATTCTTTTGCTCCTAAAGACTTCTAGAGAGAAGCTGATTGACCACTACCTGGGGCACAATGCCGAGGATCCTGCTCTGGACGGCACCTATACTGGGTGAGAAAATGGCCTTCCCAGGCAATGGTTTTGGGCAGCTTTTCTTAGAATCATGAAAATGGAGGCATTTCCAAAGGACCCTGGATTTGAGGCCCTCTGAATGCAGTTCAAAGCTTGATAAGCCACTGATTGGATTGTCTTAAATATACATACAGATTAAGGCCAAGGTTCTATTTAGTGCACCTTCATTGACTGCCCTTCAGAGACTCATTTCTTGTGTTATTCAGGCATTACTAGAAGGTTCTTAAAGTGCATTTGGAAAAAAAAAGACCTATCATCCACCCATTGGCACAGGCAAATTCACAGGTAAAAATTAAAGGTATTAAATAGGCCCCAGTGATCAGCAACTGGTGGCTTCGTCCTGTGCATACCTGAAAAGTTTGTTCTTCAGGTCAGAAATGAGTATTATACAGTTTTTAAAACCACAATTTTTGCCAGTCCCCCTCTACCTAGTAAAACATTCTTCATACTAGCAATTTGATGTGTTTAATTACCCCCCTGCCTTTCTTTCTTAGCAGTGTGAGGGTGGGCTCCTGGTAGGTCATAAATGGGGAATCCTAAGAGCTGGTTTGCCCCATGCTTTTCACTCTTCCTGGGCACCTTCTTAGAAAAAGCAGCATCTTAAGTGCCCTGCCAGTGTGCTCCCTCTTTTGAAAACACTGTTCATTCAGGCAGGGAACCTCACTCCAAAGGTGCCTGATCTAAATAGAAGAGGAATTCAGAACAATATCCCATTCCTCTCCTCTGACAGCAACTTCCCAGTAAAGAAAAGATAAAACACAAACTGTCATGGGTGTTTAGAATTTATCTGCAACTCCTGGTGCCACTTCACTGTCACCCGCCTGCAAACTGCTGACAGGGCAGGAAGAGTCCTGGAGCGGGCTGTGCTATTTGCTAAAATAGATGGAGTGGAATCCCCACAGTTGCTCAGGAGCTGTTTGCCAGATTGGCACCCTTGTGGGTAGTGCGCTCGTCCTCCAACAAAGGCTCTCCCCTGTCTTCAGTAGGTCTGGTCCCTGGGAAGGCCCCACTGATGGGGCTGTGTGGTGTGGACGAGACAGGGGCCAGGGCCACTCATGGGCAGGTGAAAGTACTGAGGCTCAGAAAGTGCAGGCTATCCCTGGAGAAGGACATCATGCTTGGTAGAGGATCAGAGAAACAGAAGAAGACCCTCAACGAAATGGACTGACACTGGCTGCAACGATGGGCTCAAATGTAGCAATGATTCTGAGGATAGTGCAGGACCAGGAAGTGTTTTATTCTGTTGGGCTTAGGGTTTCTGTGAGTCGGAATCAACTTGATGGCACCTAACAACAACATTCTTCTGGTAAGGAGACCTGGTGGCACAATGATCACGTGCTCAGCTGCTAACCAAAAGTCAGTAGTTCAACCCCACCAAGCAGCTCCATAGGAGAAAAGACCTGGCAGTCTGCTCCCGCAAAGAGTATCGCCTAGGAAACTCTGTAGAGCAATTCTACTCAATCAGTATAGACGCAGTGGCACACAACAACAATAACATTCGTGTGCTATTTATAAAGAAGAACTGGCTTGTATAACCTAAACAACTTTCTGTCTCAACTCAGATCCTTCTTTAGTCCAGTAGAATAGCAAGCATGCTTTTGGTGGTGGTGATTTGGGGCAGCAAGTGCTAAAGAGTGGATAAGTACATCCACCTCTAATTAACATCATCACCATGGTAATAGCTTTGTGTCTGCCCTCATTGGAGCTTGTGCTTAGTAGAACAGGAGTATCCAAATGAAATGGTAAGTTTTTAGCTTCTTAATCTCTCCAGTAAAAGTTCTTTGTTGTTTTTATTTATAATTTAAACCAGTGTTTTAAATCAAACTAGTTACCTGGAAGGATAGACCCTAGCTTGCCTGTCCTGCATTATCCCCCAGGGTTTTGTGAAGGTAACCTGAGAGGTTTGTGAACATATCTTATTAAGTGCCAAGTGCTGGACTTACTCGACATGAAGCTCCATTAGTTTCCACTAGGGGGCATTCTGAGCAAAACGCAGGTAGCGTTCCTCTCCCTGATGTTGCTGCAGGGCTCTGGAATTCTGCCTTGGATACTATATTTTTCCTTTGTAGGACACATATAAGCAAATGAAGCTTTTGTTTTCATGTTTGGGACTTCACAGCTAGGAGACTTAGCCTTCAGAGTATAATAAGTGTTTCACTGAAATAGAGTGATCTCGTGGGCAGACTACAGTGTGTTACTGCCCAGGCATCCCTGAGGTTAGGTGGCTTTGTGGAAGCTGCTGAAACCACCCCGGCCACTTGCCGGATACTGCCACTGTAGCCGAGAGCGCCGTGAGTCCTAGGAGGAGGGAGCTTCTGAAAGGTGACTCATCCCATGTTCTGTTTGGATTTACTATTATAGAAATTTACCAAGTGTTTATGACAAATAATATTTTAATGAAAACTTACCTCTTTGTAAAGATAACCAAGTCACAGCTAACAAGTGGCTTATTTCATGTAATCGACACAGCAAACAAACTGGAATACTTTGAAATTTGGCCTTAGAAAATTAATAAAGTTCTTTTGAGGAGTTAAGCTGACATGATTGTTCTAAGTGTTAGACCCAGAGGAAAGCTGATTATTGCCCTACTGTAGAATTTGGAATGGAGACTAGAGATGCTACTTAATCAGAAATGGGTTATTCAGGAAACTAGAATGATCCTTCCTTTATTCCAGAAGGAATGCTTCTGGTCTCCTCTAGGACTCGATAATGTAACAGTTAGCACTCTGAGGTGATGGCACAGGTGTGGCAGTTGTCAGCCCCTTGTGTTCATTGGTGTTTCTGTGCTGCTATTATAAAATATGGCTTCCTGGGCCCCACCTCAGACCCACCAAAGGATGGGACTAGTCACCCATTTGCTCTGTTCTATGAGTTCTTTCCTCAGTTCTACAAACGGTTCACAGCCACTGTCACAGCCCGAGTGCCGAGGACAGGACTTGGCGCAGAGTACACTCTCTGAATCTTTGTGGAATGAGTGAGTGAATGAATGAATGCACCAAATGCTGAGATGCTCTGGCGTGCAGTTTATTTAATGGCTAAAAGCATGGGCTTAGAATCAGGAAGACCTGCTTGCACGTAAGAGCCATGTGACCTGAAGTGTGTGACTCATTTCTCTGCACTGTGCTTTCCCATGCGAGAAGTGCTCAGTACGTGGGACGGCAGTGCCGCCTTCCCTACCGCTTGCATGTCCCTGGGCTGAGCTCACAGGGACTCCTCCGTCACTGCAGGAACACATGGACTAAAATTCACTCTAAATACTCATTTCTTTTCTTCAGGAAACCTGACTACATTTCTCCGCTGGATGATCTTGCCTTTGATATGTACCAGGATCCAGAAGTAGCACAGATTATACGCAAGTTAGACGAAAGAAAACGTGATGCTGTCCAAAAAGAACGTTATGATTATGCCAAGAAATTAAAACAAGCTATTGCTGATTTGCAGAAGGTAGGACTTCGGGAGAAAAGTTTCCATTGTATGCCTGTGGTAGGTTTTATGTATGATTAACGTAACTAACTATATGTTAAAACAAATGAACTAACTTCCAAAGCTGAGCAGAGACCTAAGCAAAGGAACACCTGAACAAGAGTATAAATGGAAGTATGGGCCTCAGACTCCATACAGACGCCATCAGACACCTTGTTGCTTTGACTTTTTTGCTTTGGGAAAGTGGTAGAAAAGCCTAAGGGCTGTGTTTTCAGTGATTCTGAACTCACAGGTTTACTGGCAGGAACTGCAGCAGGCAGCACTAGTTTTGTAGATGAGTGCGGTCAGTTACTTCTGTTCCTTTCGTAGGCGTGTTCCCTTCTCATTGCCACTGTCATGTAAGCATTACTTTAACAATGATCTTTGTACTTGGTGTGTGTTGATCGTTTGAAAGAGAACTCCAACACCTTGTGCTTCAGGTTGGCGAGCGTCTTGGGAGGTACGAGGTGGAGAAGCGTTGTGCTGTGGAGAAGGAAGACTATGACCTCGCCAAGGAGAAGAAGCAGCAGATGGAACAGTATCGCACCAAGGTCTACCAGCAGCTGGAGCTTCACAACCTGATGGACGCAGAGCTGGTAGGTGTGGTGAAAAGGAAGTGAGGGCCACAGGTACAGCATTCCAGCACAGAGACGAGAGAGTCAGCGGTGTGGTCTTGATGTGGTTTACCGGTAGGGTGAGTGCCTTTTGAATATCAAAGGAGAGTCTGTCAGATTTGGGTGGTAGTTACAATAGGAGACTTTAGCACTGTGCCTCCATCAGGGAGACTTCGGCTGCACATGTTCTCTCAGGAGGGCTCCTGCGAGAGGAGACAGGAAATGATCCTGCCTCCACCACGCTGCTGGCGAGTCACTTCCTGTCTCTGCTCTCAGTTTCCACATCAGTAAAGTGATGGTAGCCCCTGCTCCCTCTGCCTCTGAGAGTGCTATAAGGAGCAAATGAGAAAATGATGCCACAAACTGAGACTGTGTTTCGTGTGAGGCACTCTGCCTCTCGTTTTCAGAACCCACCATCCAGGCATTACAGATGAGGAGGCAGAGGCTCCAAGACGTCCAGGGGGAGTGAGGAGTGGCAAGGAAGACTGGCTGCACTGCCGGGGGTCACATCTGGCCTCTCCCACCCAAGCCAGTGATCTGGGCAAAGACATATCCCCTCAGTGCCTTAGCTTTCCCATCAAGTTTAAAATGACTGTAGTCATTGTACCCAAGACCGTGCATAGGGTTGGCAGACAATGGTTCTACAAGTGTATGTGTATGTTCTGTAAGAACTCCCAGGTGTAGAGTTGAACTGACAAGGAACAAGGTTGTAGTCACTTCTTAGTCACAGCCAGCTACCCAGAGGGACCGAGTAATTGAACCTGTGGTTCGGGACCATAGTCACAGGGGACATCAAACTCATTTGGCATAAAATACTACACAAAACATTGTTCCACCTCCTACTTTGGTGAGTAACAACTGGGATCTTAAAAGCTTGCAAGCAGCCATCTAGATGCAATGATGGGTCTCTCTTCATCCAAAGCAAAGAAGAATGAAGAAAACTCAAGATTCATGGAAACAATCAGTCCTTGCGACTGGTACACCATACGATCCTCAGCCTATACAATTATGAGACCAGAAGAACTAGATGGTACCTGGCTACCACTGTCAGCCACCCAGAGGGGGATCTATTAAGAGACCCTGGATAGAGAGGGAGAACAATGTGGAACAAAACTCAAAATCATTTGGGGGGAAAAAAAAGAGAGACCAGGTTTGCTGATCTGATAGAGCCTGGTGGAACCACTGAGACTATGGCCCCTAGCTGCCCTTCAGGTCTGGAATTGAACCCACACCTGTGGCTTCCAGCCAAATAAAAGACAGGCATAAGAATTGAACACGTACCTGAGGTAGATACAGTCCTTGGAGAGAACAATCATGGGAGAAAGAAGGGCTGTTTATGCACAGGGAGACAGCTCAGGGGGCAGGAGTGCGTGGAGGGATGGACACAGGGAAGAAGTAACTATGGGGAGGAAGTGGGAGGGGAGGTGTTGGCATTGGGGTAAACTGTCAATGTCATCAGACAACGTGTATGTGAACTGCTGTATGGAAAGTGAATTTGCTCTGTAAACTTTCACCCAAATCACAATAACCAAAAAAAAAAAGTTAAAAAAAATGACAGTAGACATGGTGAGCATTAAGTGAAATTCACTCATGTGCCTAGCACATGAGTGCTGAGCAAATTGGACTTGCTGCAGTTACACTCAGTACCTCATTTTGTGGGCACAGTTAGTGCCAGGTGTGGGCACAGTCACTCTGGAGTCAGCAGCCCAGGTTCTCCCCGCTTCTCAGCCGGCTCAGCTGAGTGTCCCCAGTCCCTGTACTGCTCTACACATGAGGTCGACTGTCTACTCTTCTGGTTCTGTGTCACTTCCATAGTCTGTGGCATCACCACAGAGCAACAACAGAAGGGACTATGATATGACTGTTGAGGGCATCCTTAGTGTAGATTATAACTCTCTCCTAAAGTCTGTCTTCTAACTGGAAACTTTCAATTGCGGGAAGAGTATCTTCCAGCACTACCTGTCTATACTGCTGTTTCTTTGGGGGATGGATGGATCTGGGGTAGCATTGGAATTAAATGACTCTTTTTCCTCCAGATGCGAAGACCCTTTGATTTGCCCCTGCAGCCCCTCGTGCACCCCAGCAGCCCTCGCCGTCGGAGCGTGAAGCCTTCCCTGCCGCAGCAGGAGGAGAGGCCGACAGAGAAGCAGGTGGCAGAGCCGCTGCTGCAGGAGCTGCCCTCCTCGCAGCCTCGCAGCGCCCCTCCTCAGCACCCTGCCGTGGCCCAGGGGCTGCCAGCCCCAGAGCCCCATCCAAAGAGCACTGTGAGTCACACAGGTTCAGATTTGTCTTCACTTTAGTCAACACAAACTTACTTATTTATTTGTTTATTTTTGTAGTTACAACAGTTTTATTTCTTCAGAGTACACTTGGTGTTACAAGGAGCACAATGTTCCCAATTCTTTTTTTTTTTAAGAGCTTGTTTTACATTCAATGTTACATGTACATTTAGTTTCACTCCCCATTCACCATGTCCTACCCCAACCAGTCTCTTCCCCTCCCCACCCCGTAGCACTCCCCCTGTGCCCCTATATTTATGCACTCCTGTTTGTCCTGCATTTCCTCAGTTTGAATGTTGGTCCTCTGGTGCCCTGTGGGCTATTGCTCTAAGGGATGTATTACCATAGAGTATGTGGGTGCATCATCCTGGGTTGAGTGGTCTGCGTGTACATCTTGTTAACTATTGGGCTGAGAGCCCATCCTTGGGGGTGAGTTTTATTCCAGGCACAGAATGTATTCCAGGGCCATAGCATTGGGGGTGTCACCAGATTTTGTCTGACTGGTAATTCTGGTCATTATTGAGTTTTTGGATTTTGTTCTATGTTTTTCCTCCCACTCTATCCAGGATCTCCAGATTTGATCCTTTCCTGAGTGGTTGGCATTGGTAGCCAGGCACCATCTAGTTCTCCTGGTCTCGAGGGCCATCGTGTTCTAGGGCTGATTGTTTCCAAATGCTCTTGTTTTTTTGCACTCTTCTTCACTTCTGACGCTAGGAGACCATTAGCTGCATCTTAGATGGCCGCTTGAAAGCTTTTAAGACCCCAGTCACTACTCACCAATGCAAGATGTGGAACAAGGCTTTTATGTATTTTGTTGTGGCCGTTGAGTCCGGTGCCCCCCAGTACTATGGTCCTGAGATAGTAGATCTATTGGATCTCTCTCCCATAGTGTCTGGTTGTCTGTGAGGGATTACTCTGTTTGTCTTCTATTGTTTCTGTAAGGGTTGCAGGTATTTTGTATCACTGGTGTCTGTGCAAGATTAGCCTCAGCTGAATCTATCCTTGGTCTAGAGTATACTTCTGTTCACCGACCCCTGTCTGATCCTCTCAGGTATTTATGTGTTTATCTGTAGCCTGGTGTTTGGTGTTAATGGCAGTGCGGTATTGTGGACACATTGGTTGGTATTAGCATCTATCATCTGTCTCTTATGTGCACAATTTGGTGTTCTCCCATTTCCTAATGTTATCATGGTGGTCACAGATCCTCTGTATATCCCTCCCCCTACCCACGTCAGTGTGTGGCCCCAACTAGCCCAAAATTAATCTCTCCCCATCCCTCCCCATCCCAGAAACTTACAAAGTGAGTTCCCTTTCCCAAGCAAACCCTTCTTTGTCTTTTTACAGTAATGGGCTCATACAGTACTTGTCTTTCTGAGATTGACTTATTTCATTCAGCATAATGTCCTCTAGGTTCACCCACGTTGCGAGATGATTCGCGTATCTCATTGTTCTTTAATGTGGCATAGTATTCCATTGTGTGGATATACCATAATTTGGTTATCCACTCATCCGTTGATGGACATTTGGGTTGTTTCCATCTCTTTGCTATGGTGAATTGTGCTGCAATGAACATAGGTGTGCGTATGTCTGTTCGTGCGCTATCTCTCACCTCTTTAGGATATATTCCTAGTAATGGAATTGCTGAGTCAAATGGTACTTCTATTTTCAGTTTTTTAAGGAAACACCATACCATTTGCCACAATGGTTGTACCATTTTACAATCCCACCAGCAGTGCACAATAGTTCCAGTCTCTGCAACCTTGCCAACATTCGTTATTTTCTGACCTGTTGGACTTTGCTATTATTGCTGGGGTAAGATGATATCTCGTTGTTTTGATTTGCATCTCTCTAATGATTAATGATCATGAGCAATTTCTCATGTGTTTGTTGGCTGCCTGTATATCTTCTTCAGTGAAGTGTTTGTTCAGGTCTTTTGCCCATTTGTGAATTGGGTTATTGGTCTTTTTGGTGTTGAGGTGTTGAAGTTTTCTATAGATTTTGAAGATAAGCCCTTTATCAGATATGTCATAGGCAAATATTTTCTCCCAATCTGTAAGTTCCCTTTTTACCTTTTTGACAAGTCTTTCGATGTGCATAAGAATTTAATTTTTAAAAGGTCCCAGTCATCTAGCTTCTCTTCTACCTCCTGTGCATTCTGGGTTATGCTTGATAATCTATTTATGCTGTAAATTAGGGCTCCCAGGTTTGCCCCTATTTTATCTTTGACGAATTTTATAGTTTTGGGTTTTACATTTAAGTCTTTGATCCAGCTTGAGTTTGTTTTTGTGTATGGGGTGAGGTATGGGTCTTGTTTCATTTTTATGCAGGTGGATACCCAGTTTTGCCAGCACCATTTGTTAAAGATTCTGTCTCTTCCCCATTTAATGGGTTTTGGACCTTTGTCAAAGATGAGTTGTCCGTAGATGGATGGGTCTATATCTGGACTTTTGATTCTGTTCCATTGGTCTATCTGTCTATCATTGTGCCGATACAATGCTGTTTTGACTACTGTGGCTGTATAGTAGTTCTTAAGATCTGGGAGTGTGAGACCTCCCACTTTGTTTTTCTTCTTGAGAAGTACTCTGCTTATTCAAGGTCTCTTTCCTTTCCATATGAAATTAGTAATTGGTTTTTCCATGTCCTTAAAAAATTTTGTTGGAATCTGGATCGGGATTGTGTTAAATGTGTAAATTGCTTTAGGTAGTATTGACATTTTCACAATATTCAGTTTACCTATCCATGAACAAGGTAGGTTCTTCCATTTATGCAGTGCCCTTGTTGTCTCTTGTAGCAGTGTTTTATAGTTTTCTTTGTATAGGTCTTTGTGTCTCTGGTGAGAGTTATTCCTAGTATTTTATCTTTTTAGTAGCTATACTAAATGGTATTGTTTCCCTTATTTCTTTATCAGAGGACTCTTTGTTGGTATAGAGGAATCCAACTGATTTTTGTATGTTGACCTTGTATCCTGTCACTTTGCTGAACCTCTCTGTTAGTTCCAATAGTTTTTTTATTGAGTTCCTTGGGTTTTCTATGTACAGGATCGTATCATCCACAAATAGAGAGAGTTTTAGTTCCTCTTTACCAATTTGTATGCCTTTTATTTCTCTTTCTTGTCTTATTGCCCTGGCCAGGACTTCTAATGCAATGTTAAAAAGAAGTGGTGATAGAGGGCATCCCTGTCTGGTTTCCATTCATAAGGAGAATGCCTTGAGTCTTTCTCCATTAATAATGATGTTGGCCATTGGCTTTGCATATACACCCTTTATTATGTTGAGGAATTTCCCTTCTATCCCTATTTTGCTGAGAGTTTTGAACAGAAATAGATGGTGGGTTTTATCAAATGCTTTTTCTGCATCAATTGCTATAATCATATGGTTCTTTTCTTTGTTTATGTGGTGGATTACATTGACTGTTTTTCTGATGTTGAACTACCCTTGTAAACCTGGTATGAATCCTACTTGGTCTGGGTGTATTAATTTTTTTATATTGTGTTGGATTCTGTTGGCTAGGATTTTGTTAAAGATTTTTGCATCTATGTTCATGAGGGATATTGGTCTATAGTTTTCCTTTCTAGTGGTGTCTTTCCCTGATTTTGGTATTAGTGTTATGTTTGCTTCATAAAATGAGTTTGGGAATATTCCATCTTTTTCTGTGCTTTGGAATAGCTTGGGTAGCATAGGTATCAACTCTTCCCTGAATATTTGATAAAAATTCCCCAGTGAATCCATCAGGGCCAGGACTTTTCTTTGTGGGAAGTTTTTTTATGACCTGTTTAATTTCGTCTTTTGTTATAGGTCTGTTCAAGTTTTCTATCTCTGAATGTGATAGTTTAGGTAGGTCTTGTGATTCTAGAAACTTGTTCATCTCTTCTAGGTTCTCAAATCTCAACACAAACTTATTGACCGCCTTGTTATGCCAGGTATTACCCCAGTGTGTGGGATACATCCAAGGACCAAACAGCCAAAACCCCTTCCTCATAGAAACTGCATTCTAGGAGAGGGGTATGAGCTCTAGAACAGGAACGTAATACCATAAGCACAGTGACCTGAGTATCTGGGCCGGTGTCCAGAGTCAGAAAAGCCCAGCCTCCTAGCCTGCTTCTCACCGTGTGCTGGCTTGTGACCTTGGACTCTGACTCCATTGTTTGGGGCCTCTATTTTTCTCTCTGAAAAATGTTCAAACAACATCTACCTTCAAAGATTATCTCAAAGAATAAATGAGACAGTATTTGGGTAGCATAGGTATCAACTCTTCCCTGAATATTTGATAAAAATTCCCCAGTGAATCCATCAGGGCCAGGACTTTTCTTTGTGGGAAGTTTTTTTATGACCTGTTTAATTTCGTATGAACAAGCCACAATAGTACTTCAATAAAAAATGGTGTGTATAGCTACTAAACCCATTAGAACTTTGTGTCATAAGTAGCAGGAAACCTGATTTAAACCCCTTGGCATTTGCTGGTATATCCTTAAGAGGTGATATGGTCTTCAGGTTCAGTCTGACTCTGTAGTTCAACAGGGTAATTAGAAACCTGGTTTCTGCCCATCATTTGGCTCCACTTCCTGGTGTCCCTGTCATCATAGGGCTAGTCATTCCCCTGGTTCTCAGCATCACATCTGCACAGCACACCGTCAGGGAGAGGGTGTGTCCTTCTCAATCTTGGCAGGAGTTCTGGAATTTGCCCTGATGAGAACACCCCAGCCACATGCCCACCTGGGACATGATGACAAGGGCTACAGGGTGAAGTGTCTGCTTGTCTAGTTGATGCCTTCCCTAGGGCTTCTGTTTAAGAACATAGCTACATGGCTGTGACTCAGGGCATTTCGAGGAAAGAAGGAAGAATGCTAGTGAGCTGCAGCCAGGTGTCTTCTGTAGCCAGGTGTCTTCTGTAGCCAGAGTCCTAGTGCAGCTGGAGAGGACCATCCATGCCCTGTCTGCTGTTAGTTTTCCTAGTGAACACTTCTGAGGGGTCACTGTAATCTCCATTACACTACTTTTTCTATAACTTACAAAAAAGAAAAAAAAAATGTCAAATGAGATAGCTTAAGTTATTTAAATTACATTTAATACCTCAATTTTAAAATATCTAATTTTTCTTTTTTTGAGCATTTGAGGTCTTTTACAACTCTAAGTCTTAGCACATGAGAGGCTGATTCTCATAGCATGACACACCCTTGGTAGGTGTTCATTTCCTGAAGCAGGCATTGTGAGGTAGAAACAGACAGGGGTAATTGTTCAGACTCAACACGTCAACACCTGAATAATTACCTTTGTTTCAACGTCATGGTCATGCCTGCCTCAAGAAATGAGGCCAGAAGCTCTCTTGCTCCCTGCGTTCACCAGTCACCTCAGCTCTGTGCTCTGTACTCTTTGAAATGTGCGCTCTGTCTCCCTTATAAGACACCAGCCCCGGGAGGGCTGCGACATCCATATTGCTCACTGCCCTATGCAGGACCCCACGAATGGTGCTTGGCATGAGTTAGGCACTCAGTAGATACTTGTTGAAGTGATAAATGAGTGGACTAAACAAGTGCTTCTCTAGAGGTCGGGTGGGCCTGCCACAAAAAGTTCCATGAAAATCCCGTACCTTTGGCTGCTTGAGACTTATTTTTAAGCAATAAACTAAGAGAATATAAGAGACTTTGTCAGGAAAAATAAGGAATAACTTCTGTAGTCCTTCACATTTCAATTGAGCTGAGATTGCTAGTAATAAATTGTAACTGCAGCTTTTTTATTAGGTCTGTAATGAGTTTGGAAAAGAATGGAAACCCTGAGCTCATTTTTTAACTGCATCCTGTTTGTATGAGTCATTATAATCTGTTAGTACTGCTGTTCTCAGCCACAATAAGTAGAGAGCTGTGAGTCTAAGCATGAAGTCACAGCTTGCGATGGTGGGGGGTATCCGTGCTGCACAGTGGTCTACAGGGCTTGCCTTGGCCTCCTTTCAGGTGGAGACGTTGCCCTATGATGAGCGACCCCTCCCAGCCATTCGCAGACAGCAAGGGGAGGCACATATGGAGTATGAAATCAGGGACGCGGACATCAGCGAGTCTCACAAAGGAGGTGTTTCATGGGAACTGGAGCCCTTAACAGAGAAAGCCCTGAGAGAAGCCAGCCCTGCCATCGATGTTCTCGGGGAGACTTTGGTACAATTAAAAAAATAAAAGATATACATAGTACATGTGTGCACATGTAGACATGCTTGTACAAATATGTACTCATATATGCATACACACATGCATATGTGTGTATATATGTGAAAGAGAGAGAAGGAAAAGCACCCTAAGGCTTTGTTTATAACACAGATGTTGATGTTGATTTCACTTTGTCCTCATTGAATTGAAAAATCTTTCATTAATTATTAATTATATGAAATAGCAAAAACATTAGCTAAAGTTTAAGGTTTCGTGAATTAATGTTCATGTAAAACTGGTTGTTTCTTTCTCATGTTCATGGAGCTGGTATTGACAATCAGCTTCTCCCAGGGGACATCAGCTCATTCAGGAAACATGAACCAAAGCCAAACAGAACATGAAATTATCTCTGTAGAGGAATGAGCCCAGTGGACTTTGCCCTTGGTCCCCAGCTTTAAAATATTTTAATACCATAATTCCATATTTTAACACAATCTTAACATTTCCTAATGAAAAAATTATTTCTCTAAGTACAAATATTTATTCTGCAGAGGTCCTGTAAAGATTCTTCTGAATTAAAAAAAAAAAAAAAAAAACAGAAAGAGTTTTCAAGTGTCTAGTAGTGGAGGGTGAGTGTATGATGCAATGAAATGCTGCCTCTCTCAATAAAACAAGATTCCTGTGTTGTGTTAGGTCGCAGGGGCCTACTCCAAGACATGGTCATATCGGGAAGATGCATTGCTTGCTTTATATAAGAAGCTGATGGAAATGCCTATTGGAACACCAAAGGAAGACTTAAAGAACATGCTCAGAGCGTCCATCTTTCTCATTAGAAGAGCCATGAAAGACATAGTGACCTCGGTGAGAGTCCCCAGCTGGCAGGGGCTCCTGTCACTGTGAATGAACTCATGTGGCATGCCAGAGTAGATGGTGAGAGCCTGCACCCCATGGACTCCACTGCTCTGATGTGGTAGGATACCTGCAAGTTAAGGTTCTCTAGCAGGCAGTCCGTCCGACCAATTAAGCACAAGCCAAGAGTCTGTGAATCGGTCTTTACTGGTCCCTCACTGTTGGCTTGAGCAGCATGAGTTTCTTCCATGCTGTTTGATGCCAGGTGCTTGCAGAGCCCTGGTTCACCACCTCTCCTACCTGTTCAGTTCATGTGTTTATTTCTTATGAAACCTTAGGACCATGGGAGTCACTGTGGAATTTTCTTACTTGAAAAGGCCTTCGGAGTGATCATCCCACAATCACATACTTGTCTGCATGTGTGAAGGAGTGTATCCACTTAAGCAGGAATGTCAGGTTTCTGACATCGAGGAACAATGTCAGGGACACAGTGACACAGAGACATAGAAAACACTCTTATCTCTTATACCCATGCCACAGTCTTTAGAAGGCAAGTTTCCACTTGCCATCTTCAGCCCTTCAGAAAGCATGTGATTTCAATACAATGTTCACACTTAACTGTTGTTGTTGTTGTGTTAGGTTGTTAGTCGGCTCTGACTCATAGTTACCCTATGTACAGTTAAATGAAACACTGCCTGGTCCTGTGCCAGCCTCACAATCCTTGTTATACTTGAGCCCATCATTGCAGCCACTGTGTCAGTCGATCTCATTGAGGGACTTCCCCTTTTACTCTGACCCTCCACATTACCAAGCGTGATATCCTTCTCCAGGGAATGGACCCTTCAACAACATGACCAAAGTAGGTGAAACAAAGTCTGGCCATTCTCACTTCCAAAGAGCATTACACCTACACTTCTTACAGGACAGATTTATTAGTTCTTCTGGCAGTCCATGGAACTTTCAACATTCTTTGCCAACACCACAACTGAAAAGTATCAGCTCTTCTTTGGTCTTCCTTGTTCACTGGCCAGCTCTCACATGCATATGAAGTGATTGAAAATACCATTGCTAGGATTAGGCGTACCTTAGTCTTCAAGGAGACATCTTTGCTCTTCAGCAATTTGAAGAGGTGTTTTACAGCAGATTTTCCTAGTGCAATACATCGTCTGATGTCTTGACTACTGCTTCCATTGGTATTAATTGTAGAACCAACTAATATGAAATTTTTGACAACTTTAATCTTTTGTCCATTTACTGTGATGCTGTTTATTGGTCCACTTGTAGGATTTTCATTTTCTTTATGTTGAGATGTAATGCATACTGCAGACTGTATTCTTCACTTCTCATCAGTAAGTGCTTCAAATCATCCTCACTTTCAGCATGCAAAGTTGTGTCATCTGCCATATCGCAGGTTGTTAATGAGTCTTCCTCCAATCCTGATGCCACATTCTTCTTCATGTAGTCCAGCTTCTTGGATTATTTGTTCAGCATACAGATTGAATAAGTATGGGGAAAGGATACAACCCTGACTCACTCCCTTCCTCATTTTAAACTATGCAGTATCCACTTGTTCTGTTCGAATGACATCCTCCTGGTCTATGTATAGGTTCCTGATGAGCACAATCAAGTATTCTGGAATTCCCATTCTTCTCAATGTTATGACCCACACAATTGAATGCTTTTGCATAGTCAATAAAACACAAGTAAACATCTTTCTAGTATTCTTTGCTTTCAGCTAAGATCCATCTGACACCAGCAGTGATACTCCTCATTCCACGTCCTCTTCTGAATCCAGCTTGCATTTCTGGAAGTTCTCTGTCAACATGCTGTGCAACCATTTTTGAATTATCTTTAGCAAGATTTTACTTGTATGTGATATTAATGATATTGTTTGATAATTTCCACATTCTGTCGGATCACCTTTCTTTGGAAAGGGCACAAATATGGATCTCTTCCAATCATTTGACTGGGTAGCTGTCTTCCAAATCTCTCGGCATAGACAAGTGCCTCCAGTGTGGCATCTCTTTGTTGAAACATCTCAGTGGGTATTACATCAATTCCTGGAGCCTTGTTCTTCACCAGTTCCTTCAGCACACCTTTGAATTCTTCCTTCAGTACCATTGGTTCTTGATCATATGCCACCTCCTGAAATAGATGAACATCAACCAATTCTTTTTGGTACAGTGACTCTGTGTATTCCTTCCACCTTCTTTTGATGTTTCCTGCATCATTCAATATTTTATCCATAGAATCTTTCAATATTGCAACTCAAGGCTTGAATTTGTTCTTCACTTCGTTGAGAAATGTTGAGTGTATTCTTCCCTTTTGGTTTTCTAACTCCAGATCTTTGCATATTTCATTATAATAATTGACTTTCTCTCCTCAAGTTGCTCTTTGAAATCCTCTGTTCAGCCCACACCTGTGGCTTCCAGTCAAACAAAAGACAGGCATATGAGTTGAACATTTACCTCAAGTAGATATACTCCTTGGAGAGAACAATCATGGGAGAAAGAAGGGCTGTTTATGCACAGGGAGACAGCTCAGGGGGCAGGAGTGCATGGAAGGATGGACACAGGGAAGAGGTAACTATTGGGAGAAAGTGGGAGGAGAGCCGTGTCATGAGACAAAGTGTATGGAAAGTAAATTTGCTCTGTAAACTTTAACCCAAATCACAATTTTAAAAAAGGAAAGAAAGAAATATTCTTTTCAGCTATTTTGTAAATTCTTCCATTTGCTTTAGCTACTCTCCATTCAAAGGCAAGTCTCAGAGTCTCTTCTGACATACATTTTGGTCTTTTCTTCTTTTCTCATCTTTTTAATGACCTTTTGCTTTCTTCATGGATGATGTTCTTAATGTCATCCCACAATTCCTCTGGTTTTCAGTCATTGGTGTTCAGTGCATCAATCTATTCTTTAGATGGTCTCTAAATTCACGGGGGATATAACCAAGGTCATATTTTGGCTTTGTGGACTTCTTTTAATTGTCTTCAGCTTCAACTTGAACTTGCATATGAGCAGTTGATGTCTATTCCACAGTCAGCTCCTGGCCTTGTTTTGGCTGAAGATATTGCGCTTTTCCATTGCCTCTTGCCACAGATTTAGTCAGTCTTATTCCTGTGTACTCCATCTGGCAAAGTCCAGGTATATAGCCACTGTTTGTGTTGTTGAGAAAGGTATTTGTGATGAATAAGTCATTGGTCTTGCAAAATTCTGTCATGCAATCTCCAGCATCATTTCTATCACTGAGGCCATATTTTCCAACTACTGGTGATTCTTTGTTTCCAACTTTTACATTCCAATCACCAGTGATAATCAGCACATCTTGATTGCATGTTTTGTCAATTTCAGACTGCAGAAGTTGGTAAAAATCTTCCATTTCCTCATCTTTGGCTTTGGTGGTTGGTGCATAAATTTGAATAATAGTATTCAAAATGTTAACTGGTCTTCCTTGTAGGTGTATGGATATTAGCCTATCACTGACAGCACTGTACTTCAGAATAGATCTTAAAACATTCTTTGTAACGATGAATGCTACTCCATTCCTTTTCAATTTTTCATTCCTGGTATAGTAGATCATATGATTGTCTGATTCAAAATGGCAAAAACCAGTCCATTTCTGCTCACTAAAGCCTAGGATGTCATTCTTTATGCATTCCATTTCATTTTTGACAACTTCCAGTTTTCTTAGATTCATACTTCATACATTCCATGTTCTGATTATTAATGGATGTTTGCAGCTGTTTCTTCTAATTTTGAGTTGTGCCACATCAGCAGATGGAGGTCCCAAAAGCTTTACTCCATCCACGTCATAGAGGTCAGATCTACTTTGAGGAGGCACCTCTTCCCAGTTGTATTTTGCCTTCTGACCTGAGGCACTCATCTTCCGGCACTATATCAGACAATGTTTCAGGGCTATTCATAAGTTTTCCAGTAATATATCAGACCATATTTCCCTGCTATTCATAAGCTTTTCCCTGGCCAATTCTTTGAGAAGTGGATGGCCTCTTCCTTCTTCTGAGTGTGTCTTAGTCTGGACGCTCCACTGAAACCTGTCCACCTTGGGTGACCCTGAAGGTATTGGAAATGTCATTGTCATAGCCTCCAGCCTCATAACAACACACAAGCCACCACAGTATGACAAACTGACAGACAAGTGGTGGTCATGCTTAACTACTGCAGTTAAACCTGCAAAAGCCAGAAGCTGTGTAATGTGGAAACCTGCCCAAGAAGGAAAACACACCTATTTTCCACTGAGAGAAAAGTGATAAGATGGCCCTGTCCGAGGCAGAAAACTTGCGAGGCCCAGGAAAACAAGGCAGTCCCACTGAGTTCCAGCTCTCACAGATCTCACTGTACTGGTAAACTTCATGTTTCCTTTTGGTGGAATTCAATCATAGTCGCTTGTCTGTTCTTCTCACTCTTTTTCTTAGGTCTTTCAGGCCTCTTTGAAACTGTTGAAGATGATCATTACGCAGTATATTCCTAAGCATAAACTGAGTAAACTGGAGACAACCCACTGTGTGGAGAGAACCGTCCCCACCCTGCTCACCAGGACCGGGGACTCCTCTGCTCGCCTGCGCATCATAGCTTCCAACTTCATCCAGGTGGGGGCCGCCCCATACAGTCTGAACCATGGGGTGAGAGACAGGTCCCTGCAGATGCTCACCTTTGTTCACACCCGCAGGATTCTGTCTCTGCTCAAGGAGCAATGAGTCCTTCTTAGTCATTCGCTGCCTAACTTTTCTTACCCTCTATGAGACAGATTTTATCTTAGACATGAACTGTGATTGACATATTCAGTTTTGTTTTTCTACTGTTGCTCTTCTTCAGCATTTGCTGATAATTTTGTAAATAAATCAAAATATATGGGACACTAAATCTGAATAGAAAATTTGGGAGGACAGAAATAATAAACAGATAACTAAATCTAAGTATTTCCATCCACTCCAAAGGCATCCTTCCTCTAGGTGGTATTGTGAGTAGTAGTGAGGTAAAAGGGAAGGACTAGGGTTTGGGGCACACAGTTACTGAGTGGTATGAAAATAACACTTTTTGTCTTTAACTGAGGGATTCATTTATTTGAGGAGGTCTTAAGTTAAAGGTCCATGTTTGGGCCTCAGAAAATCTGTACATTTCGTGAAACTTTATATGAAATTTTGTGAGTGTGCACATCTTTCTTAGGAAAGAATCCAAGCTTCTATCTAGTTTCTAAAAGAAATAAGAGAAAATGATAAGTTCCCTCATATACTAAGAACCACTGATCTAATTTAATAAACTTAAAATAAGTCTTGAGGGAAAATAAGTAATACTGAAGTCCTACAGTGTACTCCTTGTTAGCATGCAGCATGATTTAGGATTATTTTGTTAGAGTATGACAAACTCTTTTGGAAAAGAAATTTAGAAGAGGAATATGAACAAATTCCCAAAGGGAGATTACTTGGTCAGGAATTCTTGCTTGTTTAATGGGACCCAGATGGACTCACTTTTTGACTACACATTAATCGCACTGTCATTGGACAGCAGTGGTCAGTCTTCATGTGAGGCATTTGACATGGGAGGAGAAAGCAGTCTTTGTTCACAGGAAGCAGCGAGGACGAGCTGTGCTTTGCTGCAGCCACAAACTCGAGAGAGCTGGGTTTTGAGTCATGTTTTCAGAAGCTAGAGTATTACGAATAAGCTATTTTTATGTAGAGAAATCTTTCCTATGCCCTGCCCTATTTTGGAAGATAAGAGGATGTCATCTCTCAAAAGATGTTGAAAACAAGGATGTTATTATTGCCTCATTTAATAATTTTTAAACCGTTTTTCTGAGTGGTTTGGTAGTGTTAAAACATCCTCTTTACTTGAACTAATCTCTTAGTTATTGCAGGGCTAAAATTATCTTATTGTACTTCAGCATATCAGTTAGCTGACTTTAAAAAATACCCATCTGTGAAAAATATCCATATTGTCATTTAGGAAATTTACTGAAGAATTTCTTCTCTGAAGAATGCTGTCATTCATTTTTCTTTCATCTTTGCACAGAGAGGCACTCACTGGCACAGATAAAAAGTTTATCGTGCTGAGAAAAGCAGACATTATTTTAGGGGGTATGACCTGAAGACTTAAGAAAATTAATTTCTTTGTATATTGCAACGTAAATGCTTAGATCTGTCAACATTTCCTTCTCTATAAGTGGTTATAAAAATGATAAATATCTTAGCCAAAGTAAGACTTGTTCACAGATGTTGGTGTCTGCAGTGGTTCTTGGATGTTTTTGTGGTGACCCCCGGGCACTGTCCACACTGGAGGACCATCCAGTGTCGTGTTCCCAGTCCACATTTATCAACACTCAGTGCCAATGCGGTCGGCAGCACAGCCGTGCCGTAAAGGTCTTCAGAACTTAGGAAAACTCTTAAGAGTGGAAATACTAAAAACAAAAACCATAACTTTCCTCTGACATTTTCTGTAAAGCTTTCATAAATCTCCAGAAGATCGTGGTTTATCTCTTATGCATCACGTTTTCATTTTTAATTGGTTGTTGTGTTTTAAATAGAAATGTGAGCTGATAGATTAATGGTTTTACTGCCACTTGCCTTTATTATTTCCCTATTTACTTTGAGGATCACACTAAATTGTATTAAGTCGCCTCTAGCATCATCCAGTACAAATTAACAAATTATGTTGCCTTTTATAGGAAGTGGCCTTATTTAAGGAAGTTAAGTCTCTCCAAATTATCCCAACTTACTTGGTCCAGCCGTTAAAAGCAAACGCTTCAACTCACCTGGCAATGAGCCAGATGGACCTCCTGGCACGGCTGCTGAGAGACCTGGGCACCGAGGGCTCGGGCTTCACCACTGATAATGTGATGAGGGTAAGCGTGTCTCCTGTGACTCACCACTGTGGTCCTGGCCCTGAAAATGGACCTGGCACCTGCTCAGCGTCTGGTCGGGGTGATGAATGCATGAATGTGAATGGGTGAATGATTCCAGGAAAATAACTGGGGTTCGATTTAACAAATGAATGCGCCTGAAGTCTTTGGCTATTTGTAAATCCATTAGTTGTGACAGGTTGCACACAGATCCTTATAACCCTGGTGATAAAAAAAGTTTTAAAGAGCATTACTTTATCTATAAGAGATAACTGTGGTATAATAGAGAATGTCAATTCTATGTAAGTGTGTTTTTTTTGTGCTTTTGGAAAACTTGAAGGAGCTCAGGTAGCATAGTGATTAAAGCATTTGACTGCTAACCAAAAGGCCAGTGGTTCAAATCTACTACCTGCTCCATGGGAGAAAGATGAGGTTGTTTGCTTCTGTAAAGATTTACAGCCTTGGAAACCTGTGGAATTACTACTCTGTCCTATTGGGTTGCTATGAATTGGGATCAGCTTGATGGCAGTAGGTTTGGGTTTTTGTGGGGGACAGCTTGACGAAACCACGTAAGTTATGGGAGAGAAGTTTTCTTCCTGATTTCAGATGTGTTGAAAGTGTTATTGTGAGTGCTTAGCCTGCCCTGTAGATGAAGGCTCCCAGCCCACTCACCTCTCAGATCTCTGTGTCATTTCTGTCACGTAAGGACAGAGGGAAACAGTTGTGTGGTATTCTAATGCCGTCTCTCGTCTCTGTTGATTCCATGTATCCATATACTCCCACAGACCCAGATTGGACCTGGTATAGTGAAAGTTATGATCTGGAAGGTCAGGATCATATTAGCGTATTTTTATTCATCAGTTTTATTAGTGGGGTGTAGCTTAGACCTATCTGAGTAAGCAGAAAACTGAAATAAATCAGCCTTTCTGAAATGCTCTTACCCGGCTTTCTGAACTCCACAGGTTCCTGGTGTTCTCGGCCCCCAGCCTCAGGCCTCAGTCTCCTTCACTGGTTCTTCTTCATCTTCCTGACTTTTCAATTTGAAGTACCCAGGCCATAGTCTTCTCTTTTCTGTGCAAGCTTCCTCCCTCAGTGATCTCATCCAGTTGCACACCACCTATTTATTCAAGACTCTCACACATACATCTGCACCTGGACCACTGCCCTGAACATCTGACTCACGTCCAGTTGCCTGTTCATCATCTCCATGTGAATGTTAGTAAGGCCCAAACTTAGCATGTCCAAGTCCACCCCTGACCATCCCTTCCAACCTTTTAACCTTCCCCCACTTTGGTTAATAGCAGCTCCATTCTTTAATTTGCTCAGGCCACAAACCTTGAAGTCATCATTGATTCCTCTCTTTGTCTCAAACCATTATCACCAAGTGCTATGGACTTTCCTTAAAATATACTCAGAGTCTGACTGTTCTCCCTCCACTGCGACTGTCCAAGATTCCATACCTGACCCCCTACAGTCTGATCTCAACACAGTCAGAATGCTCTGTTAAACGAGAGATCACATTACTCTGCTCAGCCCTGCCAGCACTCCCCATCTCACTGAGAGAAACTCTCCTCTTGTTTCTCATTACAGACTGCCAGATCTTTCCTGAGTTCATCTCTTTCTTTTGTAAAACTTTCCAGAGTCAACCAAAACACATCAATACCCTGCTTATGTTCAAACATTTTTCCTAGTGCCCCCAGCTCAGTCAGCCCATGGTCTGCCTTCCAACTTATAGTTGGCAGCAGTTATATCAACTCTTACTTCTGCCTAGCATGGATCACCATCTTTCTTACCTCCAAGTTCAGTTTCCTTGTTCCTCGCCACATAACCACCAAGCCTGCCAACATACTTCTTGGTATGGTTGTACCTACTTCAGGATTCCAGTTTAAGTATTTGTTACGGTAAGCTAGGCCTTGCTGCACTGACAAACTAAATCTTCAGTGGCTTAACACATCCAAGTGTGTGCTTTATCTTGTCGTGGTCCAGGATAGGGGCTGCTCTGCTCCGTGCAGTCATCTAGGGACTCAGTTTCCTCCAGCTATGATGCCACCAGCTTTCACCCATGACTTCCAAGGTCACTGAATAGAGAAAAGTGACTAGAGGATTGTGAGTAGAAGTGGCCAAGCCCCCTCCACCCTCATTTCCATTGCCCACAAGGGCCCCAAGCTAACTATAGGAGACTGGAAAGTGTAGTGTAGCTGTGCATCAAGGAAGGAAGGAAACAGGTCTGTTGAGCACATAGTTGTGTTTAGACTGTATCTTTGCTGATGGGACTTATCCAGAAGGGGGGAGAAGTTGAGAAAAGCAAGGCCGAGGGGGGTGACTGCAGGAGCAAAGTCCCAAGTAGGCTAGGGGATTAGGATCCAGTGTGCAAACAGAAAGTTTGGCCCGATTGCAGCAGGGACAGTCGACCTCTTAACAGGAGGATGTTAGCTTGAAACTGAGAAGGGGTAATGTAGGTTTGAGAGGAGATAAGAAAGTATGCAGTGACCACCTGAGGTCTGAGGAGTAGACTGCCCAGGAAGTATAGCAGGTCAGTTCGCTGTACAGTGCTAAGGACCCCTTGACAGCATGACTGTAAGTCTAAAGAGAATCCAGGCACATGACTACTAAGTCTTTAGTCATTCAGCTTTGCCTGGGGAGAGCAAAGGAAGGAGAAAGGGCCTGGGATCTTGAGGGTGGACATGAATGGCAGGAAGGGTTGTAAGCATGGACCACACAGTCCACCTAGACACAGAGGGAGGCGAAGACTTAGGGGGAAGTAATGGATGGGTATTGGGGTGGATGATGGGTGGTAGAGGTGGATGGAAAGTCCCCATGAGTTGAAGAATTGGTGAAGGAGGAGGGGAGTGGTACAAGAAAAAGTGAGCTGAGAAAATGGGCAGTGGTAAAGAGAGAGCCTTAAAGTCAGTCCTTGTAGAGGTGTGCAGTGGTTGGAAATGGCAGGATCTGGGTGAAACTCGAGTGTGTGGCTGAGACCAGGTGAGGACGCTGGATGTGAGAAGGCCAAGACCTGAGGCCAAAGTGCCCAAGCACTGCTGTGGAGATGTCAGATTCACCCAGCACGTTCACGTCTGTCTGTGCTTGGATCAGTGTAGCATAATGGGTTCATGGGCTGGAATACCACAGAGCTGTTAAAATGGATGCAATAGGCCAATATGGGTGAATGTGCAGAGATCTTGAAACCGTATGTTATATAGAAAGAAAGAATAGCTCAAAATGACAAGCATTGTGTACTATTTGCAATTAAAAAAAAAACAACGGTACTTGCATCTACACCTATATACCTGTGTACACTTATGGATGGGTATGTGTTTGTAGTTGATGAGAAAATCTGGGCCTGGCCTCAGTGGAGCCCTGCCTCCAAGGAGAAAAAGAGGATGGTGGTCTGGGGAGACTCCCGGACGCTGGCGTTCTAATCCTCATGCATGAATTCCTAGAGACAGGAAGCCCTGAGACCACCACGGCAGAATCGTAACGCTAGTTAAAGCTGGATGCTGGGTCTGTGGGAGTTCATTTAGTTTACACATCTGAAGGTTACAGAGAGGATATTAACCTATAACTGCCTATAAAAAGGTGATGTGGCAAAAAAGCAAAACACAAATGTTTAGACTTCATGATGTAAACTACGTGTATAAAATGAACTCTGGGAAAAGTTATGTTTATATCACTATCTGGAGTTTGGTGTGTCTTTCCTCTTTATTTTTTGAATGTTCATAATGTACATACATTTCTTTTATGCTGGAAGAAATAACCTTCATTATTTCAAGAATCAATAACAACCAGAACCCCCCGGCTTTATGTTTAGTTTTCAGTGAGTGCCCTGGAGCATAGAGTGTATGAGGTGCGAGAAACAGCGGTTAGAATTATTTTGGACATGTATAAACAGCACCGGGCTTTTGTTCTAGAATACCTTCCTCCAGACGACACCAACATGCGCAGAAACATTCTCTATAAGACAATTTTTGAGGGATTTGCTAAAATAGATGGCAAACCTACAGAGGCTGAAATTAGGGTAAGTTAACTTTCATGAAATTATGATCTAATGATATTTTTAAAAGATATTTTGAACAAGAATATTTCAAGGAGCTACTTCCTGGCTCAGCCCCTATTTGCCCGTGAGGCCGTCCATTTCCCCATCAGGTAAGTAAGAATAGGGGTAGCCATGAGGACATTGCCATTGTATCTCTCAACAGACATTGTTTCACTGCAGCTGGAGAATTTACTTTAACCTTGGTTGTATCATTAGTCTTAATGAATATCATAAAATATAAGAAATATAATTTACATGTTACAGTCTGTCTTCCAGTTTCTAAGACTACCCTGAAAAGCTACTCTAATGGAAAGATACTTTTCTTAACAGGCACAGAAAAAGGCAGCCACGGAAGAAGCAGAAAAACAAAAGAAAGAAGAAATTAAAGTTTTACAAGGACAGTTGGCAGCACTCAAAGAAATCCAGGCTGAAGTCCAGGTTGGAGAGCTTAGCATTCCACTACCTGAGCACTGCTGGTTGAGGTCATGTGACCAGTGATTTCATTATGCGGATGCACAGCATGTCTGATTTACTTTCCGGGGGTTTATACAGATTGGTGTCCATATTTGTTATTGTTTTTTTAAATTAGACTTGGGATCAATAAAAAGAAAACAGCTCATTAGATGGTTTGAATCATCTGTCAGATAATCAGCCATGTTCTGCATCAGTAGGGATTGGAGTGAGAGGAAACCGTTAGAGGCTGATAAAGTGGATAAAAGGGGACAAAGGAAAGGGTTCTCTTCTCCTTCCCTCCGCAGCCCCTACAGAGGTAACGAAGACATGGGAATGGGAAGGTCTGAGTTCAGTGCATTTCAAATAGGAAGATTTCAGGTATCTATTCTGCTTCAGTAGACCCCCTCTCTTAAGCCTGTGGGAGACATCAGAGATGGACAGTGTGAGCAGATGTTGTTTGGGTGAATATAAACATTCCTTCTAAACTGCCTAGTTTCTGTGATTCAAATTGGTTCCCTAACACTAATTTTGTGATGAAGGTCCTGAGTTGAAAGAAGATTTCTTTTGAAAATAAAATAGGACAGAATATATGATAAAATTCCTATTGCAAAAAAGTCAGTTACATTGCAGCTCAATGATGGAACCTCAGGACAGAAATAATGGAAAGGAAAAGGGGCTGATGGGGTTGGGAAAAGAGGGGAAAGGAAGTTGGTGGGGCTCAGGGTAGGTAATCCCTCATGTAATAGCTTGTGATTTACTGGGAGCTTTTACTTCTGTTCATAGCTCACACCAGTGCGCTGAAGCAGGCTGGGCATGTGTTAGCTGTTATTTGTAATGTTATACAAATGAGGAAGCAAATTTAGGAAAGCTCAGTGACTCAGTCAAGGTCACAGAGGTAGCTAGTTGCTAAGCCAAGGCTGGGCCCCAGCGCTGATGCGCAGTCCCTGCCCTCTGCCCTCACAGCCCAGAGGAACCGTGGGGAGTCCTCAGCAGTGCATGGTCTCAGACGTGGTTGGGGTTGTTGAGGCGGGTTGCATCCCCCTAGATAGCACCTCAGGTACATACCTTCACGCAACCTTCACAGGATGCCTGCACCAGCTCCCATGCATGCCGTTACTATTTATCAAGGGCCTGCTGCATGCCGAGCACTGTCTGGGCTCTGGAAGTACAGAGAGGACAAGATGATTCCTGCCTTCATGGAGCTGGTACCCCAGAGAGCAGGCAGCCAGTAAAGGGAAAGCGAAAGACATGTGCCACGTGGGGGTGCTGGGACACAACAAAGGGACTGCACCCTACACCAGGGTGGCAGGAAGGGCCAGGCCTGCTGCTTCAGACACTGTGATTGGTGAACACTGTCACCTGAGAATTACAGAATGCTTTTAAATTGCCTGATTGCTCCAAAGTTTTAAGAAAAACAGTGTAAAGACTTAACAATTAGTTTTGTAAGCTGTTAAAAGCGTAGGTAAGGTAAAATTTTAAACTACACTTCAACATTTTGCGTTCTGTTTACCTTGTGTCCCTGCAAAATATACAAGCCCATCTGTTATCAACAAGGATTTTTTCAATCCCTAGAATCCTGTCATGTTAGATTAGCTTTCTTTTTAAGTATATGATCACGTGAGCTTGATGTAATATCCTAAATCCTTTTCTAATTCTAAAATTGTATTCTTATGTGTGCATTTCATATCCAGTGATGGGTCTGAGAGATATTACTTACTCTCCTGTAAATTCTCCATACATTTAGAGGGCAGTATTTATGTTTGTAATGCATCAGTTTAAATGCTGTATGTAATATGACAACACATACCTGTTTTGACCTTTAAAACTGAAAGCACTGGAGGCCCCTCAGTCCTGGGCAAACAGAGATATTTGGTCACTCAGCAATGTAAGAGTATTGAACTGGCTGTTATCATAGAGGAATAGTTAGAAATCTGACTGGCAGGGGGGAAAATTGATCAACGGTTTCCCAGAGTTTCAGGACGGAGAGAACCTGGGAGGAGAGCTGAGGAGCAGCCCAGGGGTTTAGCAGGAGGAGCTTCACCCGGGGCCAGCTCCCAAGGGCAGCATACCAGGCCGCCAGACTCCACAGCAGTCCAGCCACTGAGACCAAGGAGCCAGGAATGAGCGTCTTCCCTCAGATCCGTTCAGTCAGTTTAGGCCATAGGTCTCTAGGTAGTGCAAATGGGGCCCTGCTCTGCAGTGTTACGGAAGAAAGACCTGGCAATCTGCTTCCTTTAAGATTACAGCCAAGGAAACCGAACGGAGCACAGTTCTACTCTGTGACGCACGGGGTGGCCGTGAGTCAGAGGCCACTCAGCAGCAACAGGTGTGCTTTTTGTAGGTTAAGCCCCATAGCCAGTCGTACAGCAGTCTTTAGCACACCTGAACTAAAGGGGAAATGGGAGAGGGGAAAAGAGACTGGCAGAGAGGAGAACAGAAGGCTTGACGCATCTTAATGTCCCTAACCCACTCGTTTTGTGTCTTAGGAAAAAGAAAGTGATGCCATGAAACCCAAGAATCAAGGTATGTGCGATGCACTTCATGAAGCCCCATGAAGAAACCACTTTTATTCATTCAGCAAAAAAAAAAAAAAAAAATTTACTGAGTACTTAATGTATTTCAGATATTTTAAAACTGAATGTAAATATTATCATTATTAGCTTTAAAATGGACTTTAAATCAAACTAGTTACTAAAATATGAAAATAAGTTCTATGAAGAGATTATTTAAATTGATTTTTTTTTTTTTTTTTTTAAATCAGACACTCAAGGAAGGAAAGCCGCCCCACCTAATGCTCCAGAAATTCCAGATAATCATTATTTGGACAAGTGAGTAGAGCTGTCTTTTGCCTACCTGTAGTGAGTAGAGGCACATGAAAACACTGTAAAAATAAACATTCTCTTAGTTCGTTCATTGTTGTTGTTGATAGGTGCCATTGAGTTGGTTCCAAGTCAGCAACCCTGTGTACAACAGAACAAAATACTGCTTGGTCCTGTGCCACCCTTACAATCATTGCCATGGTTGAGCCCACTGTTGGCACTGTGTCAGTCCATGCTGTTGAGGGTCTTCCCCTTTTCACTGACCCTCTACAGATTTGTTCGTTCTTCTGGCAGGGTTATGTGAATTAGTTGGTCCTTTCCAGTAATGTCTAAAACTAGGAAAATTACCTTCTAACTCCGTCAGCGCTGATGCTGAGTGAATCTAGACAATTGTCCCTTCTTTATCCAACAGGAGTTAGCCTATCTGTCCTAAGTGCTGTTAGCACCACAGAACACTGCAGCAGAGAACACTCTTTCCTAAACGGGCCAGGACAAATCGATAAGGACCCCATGTCTTTTCATAGGACTTAAAATTCCCTGTCTGCTTGATTATGACGGCAGAGTGAGAATTGGAGGGGCTCTAAGCAAATTCATTTCACACAGATCCTTGGTGAGAAGTCTTTTCAGGCAGGCACTTTGGCAGCTGGCCTGCCCAGAAACCTAGCCCTCACCCCTGAGGGCGAGTCCAGGGTGAAATCCAGTGGAGAGGGGGCCACACATCCCCCACTGACACTTGGGACTCAGGAGCAAAGTGGATACTACTGCACTAGGTCTTTGCATTCATTCTTGTTTTTTTTGTTGTTATATTTCAGCTTATGCATTTTTTGTGGGGAAAGGAGTGAATCCTTCACAGAGGAAGGCCTGGACCTGCATTACTGGAAGCACTGTCTCATGCTGACCAGATGTGACTACTGCAAGCAGGTCAGGCACTGGGCACGGTTGGACCAGACCCACCATGTGGGCTCAAGCCAGCAACTCCTGAGAGGCCAGGGCACAAAACTATCCAGTTTGTTAGTATTGTTGAAGGGAAAGTAACTGAATGCACGTCACTCCATTTTGTTTGAGGTTATTATTATTAACTTTTTTGTTGAAGTATAAATGTATGCAAATCATCAGTGTGACAGTTCAAGGAATGATCTCACAAGAACCTGTGCACCTGCCACCCAGGTCAAGACAGGGTAGCACCACCACTCCAGCCAGGCTCCAAGCTAGCTGCTGAGTAGACGCCAACTTACGGCAGTCCCACGCATGTCAGAATAGAACTGTGCTCCACAGGGCTTTCATGGCTGTGACCTTTCAGAAGTAGATCGCCAGACCTCTCTTCTGAGGTGCCCCTGGGTAGAGTTGAACAGCTGACTTTTTGGTTATCAGCTGAGCGCTTAAATGTTTGTGCCACCCAGGACCCCGCCAGCACCTCAGCCGTCCCCCCAGAGTCATCACTGTCCTGATTTCTAGCACCACACATTTGTGTTTCTTGCTTTCTGGGCTTTCTATAAATGGAATGATATAACATGTAATCATTTATGCCATGCCCCAGGCTATAGTTTGTCGTCTTAATTTACTGTATTCCATAATTTAACTCTACCACAGTTTATTCATCCATCCTGTATATGGAGTTCGGGCTGTTTCCAGGGACCTTCTGTGAGTTACATTGCTACAAGCACTCTGGGTGTGTCTTTGGAGCATATGTGCTTACACTCTGGGCCATGTGCCTGGGAGTGGAATGCTGGGCATCCAAGTGTTCAGCATTCGAGCTAGTGTCAGATTATGTCCCAAAGTGATTGGATCAGCTCATATGCCAACCAGCAGCCTGGGAGAGCTGCTCCACATCCACACCAGCACTTGGTACCACCAGTCTTCTTCATTTGAACCATTCTGGCAGGTGCTGAGTGATATCTCGTTTGCTTCCAATTTGCATTTCCTTGATGAATAGTGAGGTCAACCACCTGACCATTTGTTGGCCATTTGGCTAGGTGCTGTGGTAGCACATTGGCAGTTTGAACCTACTAGTCTATCCACAGGAACAAGATGAGGCATTCTGCTTTGGTAAAGATATACAGCATTGGAAATGATGGGGCAGCTCTACTCTGACCTATATAGGGTCACGATGAGTTTGATTTGGTTTTATCTAGACTTTTGTGAAGTGCCTGTTCTCATCTTTTTTTTTTTTTTTTGAACGGGCTCACTGAAAAACTCACTGCTGTTGAGTTGGACCCAACTCATAGTGACCCCTCCTTGAGTTTCCAAGGTGGTATCACTACGGAAGTAGATTGCCCAGTCTTCCTTCCAAGAAGTGGCTGGTGGGTTTGAACCACCATCCTTCTGGTTTACAGTCAAATGCCTTAGGCACTATGGCATCAGAGCTCCTTTGAATGGGCTAGAAATCTTTTTTGTATTGATTTGTAGTAATTCTTTATGTATCTGGATACATAAAGTTATATGGAATTGTAAGTTTTATGAAGTCCTTGGATGCTCCAAACACACTCAACTGCAAACCAAAAGGTTGAGCCACCCAGAGTCATCTTGGAAGAAAGCCCTAGTGATCATCTGAAAAATCAGCCGTTGAAAACCCCATGGAGCACAATTCTACTCTGACTAACATGGGGTACCTGCAAGTTGGGGTCAATGCCACGGCAGCTGGTTTTACTGATCAGTTCTGTATGTTGTAACTATCTTTTCCCACTCTGTGTCTTGCCTTTTCATTGTCTTAATGTGTCTTTTGATTAACAGAAGTTTTTCATTTTTTTTTTTTTTATTGTGATTTGGGTGAAAATTTACAGAGTAAATTCACTTTCCATGCAGCAGTTCACATACCCTTTGGCTCATGACATTGACGACAATTCAGCACAATGCAACAGCTCCCCTTTCTCCTGACAGTCACCTTCCCTGTGTCCATCTCTCCATGCACCCCTGCCCCCTGAGCTGTCTCCCTGTGCATAGACAGCTCTTCTTTGTCCAGAAGTTTTTAATTTTAACATTGTCCACTTTATCAATTCTTTTCATGGTTAATGCTTTTTGTGCCCTGTTTAAGAAATCCTTCCCTACCCCAAATTGTAAATCTTCTCTCTGATGCAATGGGCCTTCCTTCCAATAATGGAGAACCAAGAGAAGAAAGAGCCTCTTTGGTTTACCTTGGGGCCCATCAGGCTTAAGGAGGTGGGCTTGACTGGTAGGACCTCCCTGCTGAGCAGTGGTCCCTGCACCCGGCAGGGTAGACTCTAACCCTGTGTTGATGATCAGAAACAAAACCATTTGTTTCCCTCAGCAGTGTGCAGAAGTACCAGGGCAGAGTATTTCTTTCAAGGATGTACATAGGTCCTTCCAGCAAAAGATGTCGGTGTGCTGAGAGGTCTCTTAGCTCTTTTGTGATTTTGTTTCTCTACACATTCTTAGAAATAAGACAGGGCCAGGATTTGCACGCAGGGTCACACATTTAACCACGGGCTGTTCTGCCTCCTACTACAAGTATTACATTCAGATTAACCTTAGTGCCCCCTTCCCACCTCTAAGCAATAGCCTTGATACACAGCCCAGGTAACATGAGAAGAAGGACCTGAAGTCCTTGCAGAATATGGTAGATGGTTCCAGAAGATCTGTGAGAAAAGATGGGTGCACTCACTCCCTGGGTAAATGACACCAAAGCCTTTTCTGGAGGTTTTAAGCCCTCAAGGCGCTTCACATGTCACTTTGGCAATGTGACAGGAAGCCTGCCAGGGTCTCAGCAGCTGCTCTGTACTGTTTTGACCCAGGTGGTGGAGATAGCCAGCCTGACGGAGCACCTGCTGACAGAGTGTGACCGCAAGGATGGGTTTGCGAAGTGCTACCGCTGCAGCGAGGCCGTGCTGAAGGAGGAGCTGCCCAGACACGTCAAAACCAGAGACTGCAATCGTGAGTGCATCATGGCTGCTGTCCTCTGGCGGCCCCGTCAGGATCCCCAAGTGCTCTCTGTGTAGCAGGCGGTTCTCCTTGCGAACAGTGCAACCGCTGATGGGATCTCCAAGTGCCCCAGGGGTTACAGAGTGTCTGGCAGGTTCTATTGCTCTCCTCCTCGTCTAAGTGCTGTCTCAGTGTCACAGAAGTAACTGACTTTGTTTTACTGGAATCATTTCAGCTGCCAAGTCAGAGAAGCTGGCAAACCGGTGTCCTTTGTGCCATGAGAACTTCTCGCCTGGAGAAGAGGTGAGGGGCTGAACCCAGGAGAATGACTAGCACTCAAATCTTTCACTCACTGTTGGATGATAACAATAGTGATGATGATGATGGTACTGCTGAACCCCACCCAGAGCCAAACGTCTCAAGTATTCAGGCAATGCAGTGTTTCTCTTTCTGTTTCTCAGGACAGTTCTTTGAGGGAATAATTAGAATTCTCTTTACCTACATATTCACACAATATCTTTCTATAACATCTATAAATGGTTTATTTAAGGAGTCTCAACTCATTGAGATAGAAGCATGAAATGGCTTTACTTTATCTTTAGCCATTGCTTTCAGCCCTCGGTGACATATTCAGGAGCCTGTGGTGTGCTAGTTAAGCACTCAGCTGCTAACTGAAAGGTTAGCTGTTCAAGGCTGCCAGCTGCTCTGCGGGAAAAAGTCACAGCAGTTTGCTTCCGTAAAGATTACGGTCTTGGAAACCCTATGGGCAATTCCACTCTGTCCTATAGCGTTGCTGTGAGTTGCAATCAACTCGATGGCAACAGGTTTAGATGACATCTTGGCCAGATTCTGGAACATTCTGGCCCCTTTTGATTAACAAAACTTGATCCAGTCCAGTTTGGAAATTCCATTACATATCTAATTCAGAGCTCTCCTGCCTTCCCCAGTGCAGGCCACACTATGACTCGGCAGCTTGGTGAGGAGAGGGCACCCTCTCCTATGCTCACCCTTTCATCCCTACCTTTCCATCCCCACACAGCATTAGAGGCAGGGGAGGGACCAGAGGGTGTCAGAGACTTCATGACAGTTCATCCAGCCCTCACAACTGGCTAACAATGCCCCTGTGTGCCAGGGATCAAGCACTGAGCTCCTGTGGGGCCTGCCCACTACACCCCACCTCTGCTTAGCTGCTGCCCCCTGCAGTCTACCTGCCGCATCAGTCTACCTGTGCCTCTTGTCCAGGCCTTCCTGGATGAGGGACCAGCAAGGTAGCTCAAACCCAGCAGTCCCTTCAGCATCCGCTGGTCCAGAGAAAACCCACAGATCACACAGAGGGGATGCAGGCTCTCCAGGAGCTGCTCTTAGCTCTGAACAGTACTACTTCATATCATCTCTCTCTCTCTGAAAGTTTCAGATACATAACAAATTACGCAAAAGGAGCTGCAGTTAAATGCTGTACGGAACCTTCGGCCCATGCCACTTTTCATCTACTTTCCCCGTGGGGTGCCACATGTTTATCCCTTCATCAGCTGATGGCCATTGCAACCACCTTTCTGTGGAAGCCTGTGCTCTGAGATGTGGGTGTATTTCCTAAGGGGCATTCTGTACAGCCTGCAGGAGCTGGAGTAGCACACCTGGGAGCATCTCCACAGGGTGCAGAGCCAGCCTTCTGTGCCGTGGCCGGCAGCTGCTCATTTTCACCTTTAGCTGTATGTCGTCCTTGATGAGCCTTCTCAGTGGCCTGACCACATGCCTCTGGCCTCTCCTCATTGCAGGCGTGGAAGGCTCATCTGATGGGTCCTGTGGGCTGCACCATGAACCTGCGTAAGACACATGTCCTGCACAGGGTGCAGGCACCACCACTAGGTAAGGGCTTCTGCACACCACCACTGCCACCCACCAGGGCCTCTTGCTTCACCTTCTTAGTGTCTTTTCACATGAAGGACTCTGTTCAGAAACATGAAATTAGAATGGACCATAGCTGTGCCACAACCTGACTTATAGACTGCAAAAGTAGCTATTTTATGACAAATTTGGGATGCCTTACAAGAGAATTGTATATATTCTATTAAAAAAAAAAAAAAAAAGCTAGTCCTTACCAAAAAACTCTGGATACACAACTTTAAGAGTGACACCAATAGACCAGGTTTGCTGGTCTGATAGAGCCTGGTAGAACCTCTGAGACTATGGCCCCTACCTGCCCTTCAGGTCTGGAATTGAACCCACTCCTGTGGCTTCTAGCCAAACAAAAAACAGGCATATGAGCTGAACATTTACCTGAGGTAGATACACTCCTTGGAGAGAACAATCATGGGAAAATAGAAGGGCTGCTTATGCAGGGAGACAGCTCAGGGGCAGGAGTGCATGGAGGGAAAGACACAGGGAAGAGGTAACTATGGGGAGGAGGTGGGAGGGGAGCTGTTGCATTGTAAATTGCAGTCAATTTCATGAGACAAAGTGTAGGTGAACTGCTGTATGGAAAATGAATTTGCTCTGTAAACTTATACCTAAATCACAATAAAAATTTTTTAAAAAAGAAAAAGAGTGACACCTATACAAAATGATAAGGATGATGGCATTTATTGTTTGGGTGAGGCATTATGCTCAGGGATTTGGCTAATCCTCACAACAGCCTCTCTTTCTAAATGAGATAGAAGCACAGAGGGGTCGCCTGCCCAGTATGCTCATCTCTAGTCCTGTGGCTGTTCCCTGCTTCTTCTGGACCCCTGGCAGGTGTCACACTAAGCTCTGGGCTCTTTGTGCTCTGCTGCCATCACAGTGCATCTTCACCCACAGTTGCTGGTCCCTCTCATGTACACCCCCACTCAGCCTGACCAGGAAGCAGCAGTCCCTGTCCGTGGTGCTTATCCTGACCACTAGCAATCATCTGACTCATTCAGCAGCCATGGGATCCGTCCCTGCATGCCCCACCCCCCAACTTCCACCAGTGTCTAATCACCATCACCTCTGCACTGTAATCCTGTGAGTCTCCCTTCTAATGTGGGGCTTTGTTTTGTGTCTGTTTTTCCTGCAGGGAAAGGCTCAACAATGACCAGAGCAGGTACCTCAGGATCGAAGGCTGGAAGCAAGATCCCCACCCCAAAGGGAGGCCTGAGTAAAAGCTCCAGTAGGACATACACAAAGCAATGACACAGCAAGCACCTTCCCTTGTTGCCACATGTGGCTGGGCACGCGCTCTGATTCAGAACCATCTCTCCTCAAATCGGCCTTTTGGACTGGCACCCAGGCCCACTCTGCCATCAGTGCACCTCTTGGCCGAGTGTGCCTTCTGCTTATCAGCACTGTCAGCTCCTGTTAAATGATGGGCATGAGAATGACCAAAGAACCTGGACCCCAGAGCACCAAGCCAAGTATTTCTCAGCTTTCAGGTTTCTGACTTCTCAGGCCTTCATGACACAGAAGAGCACTGCTTCTGTCTGCACGGTGAGCTCCCTAGTGGCCGCAGGTGGGCAAGGGCAGCATGTAGGAAGCAGGGCAGCATCCAGTTGTCTTAGCCGTTCACAGAGACCGCCAAAAGATGTTCACTCTGACCTTATGCATCTTCACCTCTCCACGTGGGGCAGAGTATCCCCAGGGCTGTGGCCCCACGGCCTCTGGGAACAGATGCAGTCAGAGGAGGGCCAGGGCTTTGGGAGCATCTGGCCATGACTTCTCCCTGCAGCTCTGTCCACTAGGTCTTCTGCCAGAGCACTTAGCCATGGGGTGGACAAGGATTCAGCCTCTGCAGTACATGTGTTTGCTGCTCTCAGAAATAAAGGTAAAAGGGAAGTCTGAAAAGAGCAGAAGTGACTGAGGGTCGTCCCTGCAGGTACCTCCATTGCTGGCTGGCGGTCAGGTGGCGTCGTCTGCACAGTGTTCTCTTCCCTGCAGCGCGGGCCCAGCTGAGCGCTCCCCAGGGGGAGCCAGGTCAGCACGAATGCAGATGTGGGTCACGCCATCTTCTCAGAGTTGCTTCACATGCTCCACACAAGAATTCTTAAGAAAAACAATTATGAAATCACTTTCTACCTGATTATCTTGTGCACACCTGTCCATGCATGTAAATTAGAACTAACCCAGGCCTAAAACATTGACAAAAGAGAGTTTTCTTTTCATTCGGACATGGACCAAGATTACGTTCTATGTATGTATAGTGCTCAGAAATGAGCCAGCCATGCTTAGTATGCAGGCCCAGATAACCCCATTTAGGTCTATCTCCCTGTCCATTTCAAGTCCCTGTTGTACTTGGAACTGCCAGTTCACTTGTTTTCAAACAGGTCATGTAATTTTCAGGTACCAAAACGTTGTTTAAAATGGTGAGACCAGACCTCAGAAAGTAGTCTCCTAACCAACTCCTCAGACCGTTGCCTGTGGAAGTGACTCCCGGGTTTCCTTCCAGTAACTTCGGCTACCCATGCTTCTATTACTTGTATTACCATGCTTCCAGGTAGCCACAGGGCTCGTCTGGGGTCTGCTCGGAAATGCCGCAGCTTTCTCCTGTAAGTGTCTGTGCTCTCTGAGGGCTGAGTCTATAGAGACAGAAAAGGAGGTGTCCTTTCAGAACCAGAATTTCTCCCTTCACCCTATCCAGTGATAAGTATCATGCTTTCTCCCTCGTGTTCTGTGGGCAGGCTTTGAAAATGACAGAAACACTTGGGATTGATGAAATTTGTATTATACAATTAGCGTATAAATATTGTTTCATTCCCCACCATGTGAAACAACAAAATACAAAAACTGACAGCTAGTTGAGCAGTGTGCTCCCGGATGTGTTAGTGACCATGAGTTTGCATGGCCTCATCTTCCCTTTGGCTAAAACCTCCCAGTATGGTTGACTTAAAGTACTGAACAAGAATAAGACTGACCAAAATACTTACCTTTTAAAAAATACTACCTGAGACATAAAAATGAGGGCAAGAAAAATAACATCAAACTTTACAAAGCAAAGAATAGATACCAAGATATTTATGAAAGGATTTTTTCTGGTTTCAAAAACCAGGACAAAAGCAAAAAGCAAAAAAAAAAAAAAAAAAAAAAAAAAAAAAAAACCCAAACAATTTCTAACCTGGTTTAAAGTATAAATAAAATGTTTCTTTAAGTAGACCAATATGAGTAAAGTTAACCCAGGATTGTACTTTCCTTCCAATCAAAACTTTTAAAAATGATACATATGTAACGTTCGCTGGCTGGCAGATCACCAATAGTGTTCTCTTCCCTGCAGCGCGGGCCCAGCTGAGCGCTCCCCAGGGGGAGCCAGGTCAGCACGAATGCAGATGTGGGTCACGCCATCTTCTCAGAGTTGCTTCACGTTCTCTACAATTATGAAATCACTTTCTATCTGATTATCTTGTGCACACCTGTCCATGCACGTAAATCAGAACTAACCCAGCCCTAAAATGTTGACAAAAATGAGGGTATTGTAAGTTAAAGAAGATAATTTAATTTTTAATAATGGAGAAGCACAATTGGTTTCATTTCAAGCAGGTGAGTCTTTTGCTGGTTACAGAAGAACCGCTTGTCTGTGTGGAGATGATCACTGGCAGTGACTAGTGGCAGCTTGAGGCCTGACAAAGCTCTTCACTGAAGGGACCAAGAATAAAGGGTAAAAAGTTAAAAAGCAACTGTAAGATCCCTGGCCACTCACAAATAAATACCTACAACTGGAGCATTAATTAAGAATGGAATTTTCATTCATTAATATGTTGTGGATATTTAATAATATTTATTTCAATTATTTTCATATTTCAAAATATTCTATTAATAATTTAAAAGAACTGTATCTATACATTTGGTACTAGAATACAAATGTAAATAATTTTAATGAAATTGTTCAGCTTTTTAATGTTTTAACAAAGTTTTTTATTTGTCTTCATTTCAGGTACCAGAAAAATCAAGTATCTAAGTAATATATTTTTGTTGTTATTTTAGGGTTTAGGGGTTAATTCACGCTGCATGCATTAATGTAATAAAAAGATCACTAAATGTTTCAGTATTTTTATTTCAAAATTGTAATTAAAAAGAAATTTGGAACTTATATTTCCTTTAGTAAACATGTAACTGTAGTTCATCCCCGAAACCTTAGTATATTGAAAATTGCTGAGAAAAGCAGCAGTCAATATTAAGTTGCCATGAGAGGGTTCTTAAAATCAGTTATTCATCAGAATGGGCTTACTGCTAAAGAAACTAAAAGGAGTTTGCTTGTTTGTTTTTATAATGTTTCTAGCAGTTTTATGTCATGGTTACCAGTTAGGTAACCATGAATAAACTGTGGCATGTATGGAAAGGAGAAGAAAACTATTGTCTCCACATTCCTTTTTTTCTGGACATACAACTGATTCTGTGAATGGCATAGCATGTCCACATAAGCACCACTTATTTTAAATGAAATGTCTTCTGACAACTTTGTCACTTCTTTTTCTATGTACCACTTCCTCTCTTTTTTTGTATTTTACTTTTGCTGTTGTTGCTGAAGATACGCACAGCAGAACACACACCAGTTCAGCTGTTTCTATACGTACAATTCAGTGCCATTGATTAGGTTCTTCAAACTGTGCAGCCATTCTCACCGCCTTTTCTTTTTTTTCTCACCGCCTTTTCTGAGTTGTCCCTCCCCCACTGACAAACTAAGTTCCTATCTGATCTTTAGAGTTGCTGTTGTCAGTCTGATCCCGTATAGACAGGTCTTAAAAGAGCACAGTGGTCAAGGCAGGCATTCTTTCCTAGTTAAGCTAAACTATTGTTTTAAGAAGATTTGGGGGGATAATTTTTGTTTAACGTTTAAAGGTTTTCTCAAGGCATTCATTTTCCAGCCTACATGGCTCCAGAAAGTCCAGGTTCCATGAGAATGTAGAAGCTAAAAGGTTTTAAGCTAACGATAAATTAGAGAAAATTCTTGACCAGTTTTAGCCTGTGAAATAACCGCTAACTGGTCTCTGAGCTCTCTTAATTTTGCATAGTTGAGGATTATACTTATAGTCTCTTATTTTTCTCCCCTTTGAAAGAGGGTATCTTCACTCGTCTTTTTTTAACAAGTGAAAATGCAGCATTTTCTGTATAGATTTGTAGTAATGATTTTCTTACAGTTACATCAACTTTAATAATGATTTTATAGTTGTTTCTATCGTGAAATTACAGTGTACATTTATTTTCCTTTACACAAATTTTATTAATTTAAAATTTAAAGGATTACAGTTTCAACAGAAAAAAGTTACTTTAAATTTTTCTTTCTTTGGTGAGTAGAATATTTTCATGATGTATGTGTATGTAAGTGTGTGTACGTGAGAGTGTGTGTAATGAGAGTATGTATGTGGGACTGTGTGTATGTGGGACTATATATGTGTGTTGAGGAGAGAGTGTGTGCATCAGAGTATGTACACGGTGTGGGAGTGTGTGTACATAGGAGTATGTACAGTGGGGGTATATGTGGGAGAATGTGTACATCTGTGTGTGTGTACATGAGTGTACATGGAAGTGTGTACATAAGAGTGCATGTATATGGGGTATGTAGGTGGGAGAGTGTATACATGGGTGTGTATGGGAGATTGTACATGGGGATTGTGTGTGTACATGAGAGTGTGTGTGTACGAGGGGGATGTAGGTGGGACAGTGTACGTGGGAGTGTGTACATGGAAGAGGGAAAAGGAAAGAGCAAAAAGGCTAGTGTGTACACTCTAGAGAAGTGAGAGTACATATTCAACAGAAAAGAACTTCAGAAAAGTGCACCATAAACTATATGTAACATCTGCTATTGGCAAAAAAATAATAATACCCACTAATAGTTCTTCAAAGTGTGCTATGTTGAATAGAGGAGCCCTGGTATGCAGTGGGTAAGGATCGGCTTAGGTAACCAAAAGGTCAGACCCAGCAGCTCTGTGGGAAAAAAGACCTGGCAGTCTGCCCCCACAAAGATTACCGCCTAGGAAGCTTTATGGGGGCAGTTTTACCCAGTCCCACAGAGTCACTGTGAGTCGGAATGGACCCCACCACACACAAGAACGTTTTGAATCAGTTTTCATGTGTAATATTGACTTGTTGCTCTGAAAAATTAAATCAATCCTAAAAATAAGAGCCTCTCCCTGTAAGATGCCAACTTCTTAAATATGCTGATTCCGTGAGTAGACACCTCCTGGCTTCCTGTCATTCTGTCAGCC